ACTAAAAATTTAATCAATGGCTAAGCACAATCGGATTTTGTACTTTGTAGCGAGCTTCCTCTTTTGCAATGGGGGCCATGGCTATAGAGATCTGGGATCTTGTTAGTTTTTTATTCCCCATTTGCAAAAGGGGAGAATTTTCGTTACAAGGTAAAAATTTCGTATATGCTTAACTGGTCAATTTCTTAATAAGGGGAAAATTCGTTACGGGATACATATTTGCAAATTCGTTACGAGATCATAGTTAACAAGATCCGAGATCTGTAGTAAAATCTTCTATTCAAAATCTGGAGTCTTCCTATGCAATCTGCCCAAAATTATGTTTTTAAAAACCTCCTATGAAAACAGAAAAAAAAGATCGATTCTAATTTGTTCAAATTGAATATTTAACTTCAAAGAAAGTTTGAACAACCGTCCATTAAAAATTTATTTTAGGCAGTCTAAGCAAAATGAACCCAACTTGAAACAACCCCGCCCTGGTAAAACATTAGCTGAATAAAATCAAATTCGCCCAAAAAGCTCCATCACTTCAATTAGAATGATTAAAAACAAACTGGCTCTTTGACAGATTTTCAGTCTTTTTACTCATTTTGCCCAAAATAAATTAACAGCGCATCAATTATTAAATGGATTGCTGTTAAAATTTTATTCTGAAGTTGTTCAGAATCAAAGTTGGATCTCTTTTACTATCCCCATCTTGTAAGAGGGGGAGATTCGTTACTATATGCTTAACCGTTGAATTTGTTCTTTATAGGGATGGAAATTTGTTTTTAGGTACCATGGGGGGAGGGGTATAATTCAAGAGATCCCAATCGTTTTCTATTTTAGGTTTTCATAGTTTAAAGCAATGAATTTGACGGAATTTGATTATAGACCCCAAAAAAGGATCATTTTGAATTTGAAAGGAAATGACGAAGTTATAAAATATAATCCGGATGAACTAATTCAAATTTCTAGCTGTTAGAGTTTCTTTCTTAAATAAAGGTAAAGGACTCGTCAATCTTTTTCTGATTTCCTTTTTCGCTTCAAATTAGTAATCCTTTCCTTACGTCTTTAACATTTTTGTTTCTTCTTTAGGTATAGTTGTCCAAATCTAATTAAAAACTGAAAAGTAAGAATATCCTGAGCTGAAACACAATTACATTCGAAGAAAATACAATTAGTATCCAATTTATAAATTGATTATATTTTTAAAACTTTTGTTCAACAATTTAAATTTGTTCTGTTATTCAAAATATCTGAAACACTTGCTCAAAAAGGTAAAAATTTGTGATATTTTTTATTAGAGATAGAAATAAGTGATTTCAAGAAAACAGATATATATATATATGTTTTTTTTTTCACTGGCTTTGGCGTTTTTGTCTAGGATAAAAACCGCAGATGTCTAATCTTTTCGAACTTTTTAAAAAACTAGAAAAAAATTATCAGCAAAAAAATCAGAGCATAAACGTTCAAGAGCATAATAGTTCAGACGATTCGAAGTTAGGCTAGAATTTGACTTCGCCTGCAAATTCCTCAAACCTGGCGGATACTCTTAGTATGTTCTACCAAATTATATAAGTTCCAAAAATAGATCAAAAAGGGCACTTGGCGGACTCTCTAATTATGGTCTACCCAGGGGCGGACGCTTCCCAGGGGCGGTGTTCGGGGAGCGACGCTTCCTTTCTTCCCCTCAGGGATTCGACCCACTCACCAACCAAAGCGTCCCATTTTGGTATTTTTATGACATCCATTTTCAATCGACTGACCCTAAAATTTTTCTAAAGACGCCTTTAGGGCCATTATATATACTAATTTTGAAGAGGGCGCGTCGAAAAAATTTCCAATGAATGCTCGAAAACGGCCTTTTTGACCTGTTTTTTTTTCAAAATTTTGCCTGTGGCGAAAAACTTTTTTTTGTCAAAAAAGGGTCTTTATAGTGTTCTGAAAGCGCTTGGAAAATCAACTTGGTCGAGAAAATCCCCTGGTTCTACCAAATTATATAAGAAGTCTTTCAAAAACAGATCAAAAATTACGCGGTTACACTTGACGGTTTTATGAAAGTTCCTCGTCAGAGTTTTCTGTTGCAAAAAGTATTTGCAAGGAAATGAAGTGGAGTACCTCCAGGCGCGGATCTAGGATTTTCTCGAGGGAGGGGGGCAGATTTTCAAAAAAACTTCCAAAATTTTGTCGAACTTTTTTTTGTAGGTCGACCAAATTCATTTTCTAAGCTCTCCCAAATCATTATAAAGACCCCATTTTGGGCGTTTTTAGGAACTTTTTGGAAAAAGGCGCCTTTTCTAAAGGCGCCTTTAGAAAAATTTTAGGGTCAGCCAGCCAAAATGAATATCTCAAAACAGTACAAAAGGGGGAATCCTGCCTCCCCCTCCCCTATATCCGCTGGTGAGTACCTCGGAACTTCAAGAAGATTTAAGACTGGGACAGGTTAAAAGACCAAATATTAATATATTTAGCAAACTTACACAACAAGTAAACAAAAACATTAATGCTTTGAAACAGCAAGTAAAAGTTAGATTCAAGCTAATTTATTTACGCGTGCAACTGTACCACACTTTTTAGTGAGGTTCAATTCAGCAAGAACTCGCAATTTGCCATGGGAAAAAGTTTATTTGTTTTTCGCTATTTGTTCGATTCAAGTGACGGAAGAATTTGTACCAGTTGTGTTTTTTCTTCAGGCAATTTTGAGTATTTAACAAAAAGTTTTTCATGGAACTTTTTTCAAAGTCTGAAAAATATTGATGCCCTAAGCTCTAAAAATTATGTTTAACTTGAGAGAAATTTTTACTCTAAAATGGCTATATAAAAATGGCCCAAGGACTTTAAAAACACGCAAGACATTTCATGCTAGTAACACTTAGCTGGCGTTTTCATCCCGTTAAAAAATCGTTTTAAATAAATTGAAGCACCCTGAAGATATGGTTAATGCGCTACTAGATGCTGAGTATATCACTATGTGCGAGAGAACATGCAGGGAAAATTCAAAAAAAATTCAAAAAAAATATTTCAAATAATCATTTTTATGTTTAAAATTTCATCTGTTTTTGAAATGAAAAGTTAATACATGGATAAAATAGCTAATTCATTTTAATTTTCCAGTTGTCCAGGATGTTTGTTGTCCAAATTTTTGGCCCTCAGGCACACATTTTATATTTTCTTTAAAAAGAAAATGTTTTACTTATGGCCGGCCGGATATAATTGCGTTGAAGAAAAAAATTGTTTCAATAAACTTGCTTTGAAAATTTTATGACTCTTGACTCTCTTCCTGTTGCAACAGTTTCGCCACAATAAACTACAAAAGATATTAGTTCATTCATCAGTTTTTGAGCGGAGTTCTGCTTCATCACAAAACGTGATCGCCTATCTGAGTTGCACTCAATTATTCTAATACTCTTTAATCAGCCGAACAAACTAAAAAGTTTCTGCGAGAATTTCTTATGAGATCATAAATAATCTGAAATTTTAAAGTGCAGAAATAAATTTGAATAGATTTCACAGAGCATAATACACGAGCAGCAGCGGGCAGATACACTCGACGGCATTCCTACTATGGAATGGCAAATCTTTTGGTTTTGCTTACCGCAGTCACATCCCTCACTGGAAAGAAAGTATGGAGAGAGCATAGCAGTAAAGGAACCCATTGAAACCGAACAATGGCCAACTCGATATCAAAGCTCAAACTATCTATCCTTGTCACTTGGTGCTTCACTCAGAGAAGTCAGCCTTTTATCTCGCTACTTGATCAAATGCAAACGAACAGTGAGAATGCACCTAGTCTCGCTCTGACTTACGAAATCTATTTTTTACAGACACCAATCTGCACTTCAATGCGTCTTTTCAGGATTTCCAATATTCCCTCATTATCATCACTTGTACTTCGCAGATGCAATCAATCTACACCCTCCTCAAAGAAGTTAGAAGATACTCCATCCATTCTACACAAGAAAAATTTTCTTTCAAAAAGCTTCCTAAACCCCAGATGAGTGGAACCAGTTTAAAACAAAAATTCAATTTTTATACTTCGATATTTCTCACTGTAAAAAATTATTTTGATCCATGACTAAAACTTACTAAAAATTGTAAAGCCGAAACTATTCTTAGTTTCAGCAAGAGATTTAATAATGAAGAAGGAAATTAGTTGCTTTCTTCTCTCCTCTAACTTTTAAATGAACCAGTATATCTCTAGATATTTTGAGACTAGGAAATATAAGATATAAGAGTGAGACAAGGATTGGTATTAGACTAAGAAGTTGTACTAGCCTATCCAGCCAAAAATAGATAGCGTAACTAACAGACGGTGTACCCTTATCCAAAATTACTCTTTAAGAAGGCCACCGCGGACTTAAATGCATAACCCTAAATTGATTCGAAATACGCCTTAAGTGTTCACTAAAAATGAAGGGAGCGTGCGCCAAAAAGAAAGCCTCAAAAACGTCATTTTTGGCCTGTTTTGTTTTCTTCAAAAACCTGCCTTTGGCGAGGGAATTCGATGGCAAAAAATGGTCTTTATACTTTTAGGGGATCGAAAATTAAATCGGTCAACCTGAAAAAGGTCGACAGGATGACAGGAAGTAAATTTTTCAAAAAAAAAAATGAAAAAAACTCAGCTAGTTGTTTATTTTTCAGCAGCAGCCTTTCAACGCCATTTTTTCAGACTGTCTGAGCAATGCAAACAGAAGCCGTATTTTATATAGGCATTCAAATTTAAAGCATAAAAGCATTACAAAGCGACTGCAGGTGACAACGTTTTGACTCTATCAACTTAAGATCTGACGATCCGATTTGATCTTCTAGATGAAATTGTTAAAATGCTCATCATAGAAGGACAAAATTTACGAGTATTTTCGACCAATCAGCGTTTCTTAAAGAGTCGCTGTCGAGCGCGTGTGCTACAAATTTGTCCTTAATTCTTAAGACGTCTTTGAAAAACATAACTAGTGCTTGATACTGAGATATAAGTGATTATCTTTGACTGGTTTTGTTAAAACTTCTAATTATTTTAGGTCGTCCTCAATTTCTGGGACCGGACGCCGACTCTGGAATTGAAGACGAAGACCCCAACTCCCCTTCGGCGACCCCAAGCTCCGCCACTCCTTCCAAGCCCCCCTCGACCCTTGTGGGGGAGCACAAACTTCTCTCTCCTTTGACTTCTTGCAACGGATTCCTGGACACAATCAGAGCACCCACTAGTGCGGAAAGTTATTCGATGGAGGGGGTGGTTCAACATAACTTGCTCAGAAGGATCCACGACACGCCACCTTTGAGACACAGTTTGGAGTTGCAGAAAATGGCGCAGAGTTATGCTGACTACTTAGCAGAAGCCAGGTTGGCTAGATTTAGAATCGTTCAAACAATAATTTGGCTAAAAACACAATAATTTCGTCAAACAATTTAGATAAATTTTTGATGAAGGCACAGTTATGAAAGATGGTTTCCTCATTTTTGTGAAAATTCAAAATTGCTAGAAAAAAATAGTGTGCTTTTTTTGGAAGATTTTCAGGCACTTAATAGTTTTCTTCAGGGTCTTCCAGCACTGGAGTTGCATGAGGAAAAATGATTATAATGGTTTACAGACTAAGTTTTTTATCATGGATAATCGGCTCTTTTCCACTTTCCCCCCACATTTGATTTAAGTTTCGAAAAACTAATTTTACGTTGTCATAATGTAATGAAATTTTGCATATTGAACACACTAAACTATTGTGAACACATTTGTTCTTCATACCTTACATTAGGGGGGGGGGCGGATGTTCCCCATCCATCAGGGATTCGACCCCCTGCCGACCCAAAGGGTCCCCCTTTAATACTTTTTAAGAAATCCATTTTTGGCTGACGTAGATTTTAGATATTAAAGGTTTTCGATCATTTTTCGAACAGTTTTACATCTATTATAATTCAACGAATTTGCCGCAAATTTATTTGCAAATATTGCAACAGTTTGGCCATTATTACTCACAACCTACCCTCGAATTTTAAACCTTGTAACAAAATCAAAAAATTTAACGATAGCATAACGGTATCCTTCATGCGTCTACCCCCTCACAATTACCCCCCCCCCCTTCCTTCTCTATACCACATCACACATTTAATTTTCCCCACAGTTAACCCACCAGCCCCGCTCATTTAGTCCCCCCATTTTCATATTCAAGCTAAAATGGGGTATACACGGTTGGTGAGGGGGTCGAATGCCTGAGGTGAGGCGTCCCCCCCCCCTAAATCCGCCCCTGGTAATGAATTATTGTGCGGGAAATGTCTATAATTAGGGGATAAACTAGCATACTTATGATCAATAGCGGATTTAGGGGGGATGGGCGGACGCCTCTTCATAGGGATTTGACCCCCTGCAGACCCAAAAAGTAATCCCCTTGTATTGATTTGAGATATCCATTTTTGGCTGACGGACCCTTCGGCGCCAATATTTACTAAATTTGAGGGGAACGCGCGCACCAAAAAAACGCGTTTTTTGCCTGTTTTTTTTTCAAAATAAATAGTTTTCTCGTCAAAATTTTTAGAAAATGTCTACAAGAATTTTTATCTATATTTCCTAATTTTTATATTTTATATCAATCCAGAATGTGGGAAACAATTTAAAGTGTTTGTTTAGAATGGGCGAAGAAAGTCAAAAATCTTCCAATTTTGAAGTCTACGGAGAGAACATACTTTACGTTCCTTACGTCTGCTTCATGTCAGGTTAGTCATCTGTTCACTTATTTCTATCCTTGCAAAAATTATCAATATTTATGGCTCTGTTTCCTCCCCCTACCCCTCAAGCAATTTTTGTGTTCTTATTTTCCGCTTGATACAAAAAATGTCATCCAGACTAATTAGACATTGACAAGACAAACTCCTCGCTACACCATAAAGTTAATGTCATATATGAAGTGGGGACGGGGGTAGAGAGGAAAAGTTGTCATACTTTTTAGTTAAGCGACCAGAAACCTACATTCGCACGTCCCATCTTGAACTGATTGAACTGTTTTGACTTCTCGTTTAATTCATTCGAAGTAGCTGTAATGAGCAGAGTATATAAATCAGCAAAAAAGTTACGTCATATGAATAAAATTTGCATAATTTTTGTAACTGTTACATAATTTTTGCCTAGCTACTAAATAAAATTTGCGTATCATCTGCTGGTTGATACTTCGGCTGGTTTTTATACCACCTAAATAGTATATTTCCAAATGATATAAAAATCTGCTGATTTATTGTTTTTGAAACATAAAAATTCCTGATAAGTATTTTTTTTCGAAAAAAAAAATATTTTTTTTTCATAACATATTATGTTAATTGCGTATCACTCCGACTTTCGAAAACATTGACATTTTTTTTGCGTTTGAGCGTTTTTTATTTCTTAACTAGCCGTTTTTGACGGACTTTTTAATATACCATCTGAAATATAGTGAGGTTCAAATCAATTATGGCAACAAAGCTTCCTTCAACCAAATTGAAACAATTTCTACGACGAAAGAAAACTGGTCGTATCAGGGCGAAGCCCTGAATGTTCCGACTGCGTTTTAAGGTCTATGAAGCAGTAATAACATGAAAAAAATTAGTATAAAAAATAAAATGAAATTTTTTGGTCAAATTTGAGAATTTTTTGTGAAAAACATCCCCCCATGTGCCATTCAAAGTACAAAGTGATAAATTTCGCTCCTAGTAACACATCAATTATGGCAAATAAGTTTCTTTCAACCAATTTGAAACGATTTCTAAGACGGATTTAATTGAAAAATTAAAAAGTCGAATTTTGTCTGAAGAAAAAGAAAAAAAAACCCACCCCGCGCACAAATATTCCGTTACTTTCGTTATGAAAGTCGGAACAACAAATCTCTCCTTAAGCGTTGATAGCGCGAAATATATCGCGCGTTAATTTTCCCAAAACGTGAAAACAGCAAACTTTAAACACCTAAAATTTTACGAAAAATGATCACAGGTGAAATATCTTTTTAAATTTAAGCTCAGGACAGCACTACTTTTTGAATGAGATAAAATTTTTTTTGTCAAAATCGCTAGTTAAAAAGTCGAAACTTGTCTGAATAAAAACAAGACTTCTTGTAAATCAGTGCAAAGCCCTGAATGTTCCAACTGCACCTAAGGCCAACTGAAAAGTTTTTTTTTGGCTGAGTAATTGGCAAACTATTTGAGAAAAAAAGAAGTTTTCATTTTTTTTTTCATTTTATCTACCCACACGCTATGTATAATACTAAGGGTTTGTTGAGCGTCTCGTATTATGATAGTAGGAATAAAATGCTGGCCTTAATTCAATTTGGAACGCATTAATTCGCTTTTTGCGAGTGTTTTAATTTTTAAGTACTCAGTATATCGAATTATCACAAATTGGTCAAATTATCAATTTTCAAACGCCCGTAACTTTATGAAATTTGATCACAGGTAAATATTTTTGCTTAATTTTGAGCTTAAGATAACATTATCTTCTCAGATATGAAAAGTTTCGTCAAAATCGCTTAGTTAACGGATCGAAAACTGACTGAATGAAAAAAACCACACCAAGCATAGATATTCCGCACTTTCTTCAAAAGTCGGAACAAAAGACCACCCCGAGCACAAATATTCAAATATTTTTGTTACAAAAGTCGGAACCAAAGTTCATTTTGGGACTAATATGAGCAATTTATTTTAAATTGGGATATTTTACGAGCAATATACTTTGTTTTATCAAACCGTAAGCGGCAACTTAAAATAGATCAAAATGAAATGAGGTGAGCAATTAATTAGCTCTTTCTACTCTGGTAATACGATAAACGATGCAATATATTTCAAATTAAATTTTACATGGTGCGTGGGGGATTAAGTTTAAAAACTGTTTTTTTTTCGCTCCTTTAACAATTTTTCAAGCCAAAGACGTTGAATGGCAGTCGCTAAAGGGCAGCGTTGAAGGACAGTCGATGCTTTCAGGATTTTAACCTGATACGAGCTGTCTTTTCTGAATTTTTTCTCAGCAAAAGAAGATTGAAGAAGACATTTGAATGGCTCTTATTTGATATTATTGCTGTTGATAATGTAACGATGTGCCCTATGAAGTCGAAATTTTCCTTCTCACTCAATTATATTTTTAAATATATTGCCTCCCACATCAATCGTGTCAATGAAACGATTGATGTGGGAGGCGAAATTAGTGAAACCTTTCATGTTTATATGTGACATTTACGCTTGTTATTATCAAGATGATACCAATAAGAAGCTGATTGACTGACTGAGTTATACTAAATCAAGACAAAAACCACCTACTACCGTGATATTAGAAACAAAATGACAGGAAAGAAAAATTTATATTAATTTAGTGGTAATTAAAATCCAATAAATTAGGCCATTCAAGTCTTTAACTGCTAGTTGCGGCCCAAAAATGCAGCAAAATACCCCGATGAAAACCTTTTCATACAAATCTGATCATAATTTGAATATCTGATTTTTAATTGAGCTTAGATGGAGCGAAACAAAAAATATCTGGTTGCCCTGCCAGAAGCACAGAAAGTTATTAAATTTGAACAATTTGTTCAACCTGTCTGCTTATTTAAAAAACTGCCATGCAGACTAATTAGGCTATTGCAAACTTGTTAGGTTCGCATATCTATCTAGCCGGGTCGAGGTGCTCATTTTATGTTTTGACTTTCAAAGTCCAGCACATGTCAATGCTCGAACTCAAAATAATAGTCGGGACAGGGGTGTGGGTCGAGCAGAAACTCGAAACATACCTCGAGCACGGTCGAAACATACCTCGAGCACGGTCGAAACATACCTCGAGCACGGTCGAAACATACCTCGAGCACGGTCGAAAAAATCTGGTTCTCCCGCAATAATTCGTAGTCAAAAAGAAAAGTTTCTTTCAAATATCAACATATAATTTTAACATATTAGACTCAAATTGAAGATCAGCTTTCAAAAAGATGGAGAAAAAGATGGAAGATGAAGATCAGCTTTCAAAAAGATGGAAAGATTGCAAATTACTCCAATCAATTGAATCTGATGAAAAAGCATCATGAAATATAACCCTAAAATCTTAAATTCTATTTTTTAAATTTGGATAATTCATGTTGTTTGAAAGCCGAGCATGGTCGAAACATATCTTGCTTTTGTAGAGCACGGTCGGGCACTTTTTTCAGTCGGTAACGGACGAAACTTATCTTGCTTGGGTCGAGCACGGTCTAGCACATTTGTTTTGGTCGAGCACGGTCGAAACATACCAATTTTTAATCGAGACGGTCGAAACATAAAATGAGCACCCCGAATCGGGAACCACTCATTATACTGCAAAAAGGATGCTTAAGTCAAGCGGGCCCCTTCGAGAAAATCCTAGATCACCCCTGGATTGGACAGACTTTTCTCAGCATTTTTGACAGCTGCTGATTCACAGTAACCGTTTAAACTAATACGTGAGGACATTTTTTATCCTGGAATTTTTATCAAAGCACTTTTGGCTATAGCATATGCCCGAAGGTGTGATTTTTTTCAAGATTTTCAGAGTCAATTGCAATTTTTGTTATAGAAAAATCTGGAAAAGTGACCGAACTCGCCCAGTTCAGATCAAGTTGGCTTAGTGCTTACTTGGTTATAACCAAGTGTTTCTTTTTTCACCTATTAGTAAGCAGTGTTTAGTGTATAATTTAAACTCAAAAATTTGGTTAAATTTTTGAAATTTTTCATATTTAGACAAAGTCCATTTAGACAAAGTCCATTTTCTATCATATCTCAATTACCGCGAGATACGTTTCGTGCTATTAGAGCGTAAACGGCGAATTTAAAATTTTCAAGCTATTTGCTCTTAGTCATCCAAGACCAGACAAAAAATAACACCTTTTACTTTAGATAGCGTGTGGAATATAAAACTAAGAATAAAATCAAAAATAGTACAAAGGCTTGCGTTAATTTGCTGTCTGGTGATAGAAAAATTGTACAATTCTTTTGGTTAAAAAATTTGGCTCAGTCTATTGTCGATTACTTGTCCGCATTTTAATTCTTAAAATATCACAATTTGCCCGTATATCAGGGCGAAGTCCTAACTTTTTCGACTGCTCTTGAAAAAGCAATCTAATATTCAATTTAAGTCTCTAATATTCTTTGGTGAAGAACACTTTGATAAACTATAAATTTCGAACTGTCAATACCAAACGAAAATTAAAACGTGAGGCGTAAAGAGTATTAATGTTACCAATTATAGGTGCATCACAAAAATTGGTGTTATATTTTCAGCATCAAAGTATTAAACAAGGAAAAATATTTAGGATAGAGCGTAACACAGTTGCTGACAAACACGTAGATTCCAGTCTCAAATTCACTTGTACAATCTTTCTTTTAGAATTTTGTCCGAATAGTAAAAAAAAACATCCCAAGCATAAATTTTCTTCAGATTTTTTGAAAGTCGGAACAGCAATTATGATTACTTTTTGGTTGGAAAAATTGACTCGTTATGTTGGTTTTTTGACAGAATTTTTGAGCGATTTCAGAAAAATTCCAATGCTTTTTTAAAAAGGACCTTCATAATTTGAATTTTTTTCAAATTTTTTTCAATTTTTTTCAAAACTGACTGAAATATAGCTTATTCCTTTCGAATTTTTGAATGCTGAGCCCTGACTGGTGGTCAATATTTTCGCGCTCTTCGCACATGGGGGTTTCCCCGTTTTCGCGATCCCCTCTGAATAAAATGCTATCTTTTTGATGCGTAAGGTCTCGCGCTTTCCCCTCGAAGTCAGTTGATGAAGTTAAAGAGAAAATGGTAAATGAAAACACCTCATTCACGAACATTATTCTATGATGCATTTTGAAAAGTGAAAAAACAATTATTAAAAAAGAGATCAGGGGTTCGACCGTCTGCCGACTTAAAGGGTCCCCCTTTTGTACTATTTTGAGATGTACATCTATCAATTTTTGGCTGACTGATCGTTCGGCGCCAATACATACTAACTTTCAGGGAGTGCGCGCCGAAAAAACACAATTTTTGGTCAAAATTTTCCGTAAAGGGCCTAAAAACGCCTTTTTGCATGTTAATTTTCAAAATTTTGTTAAAAACAGGGCCTTTCTATTGATTAGGGAGAGCTCGGAAAACCAATATGGTCGACTTAAGAAACGTTTTTTTTAAATGACCAAAATTTCGATTTTTTTTCGAAAATTCGTCCCCTCCCCCTCGAGAAAATCTTGGATCTGTTCATGGCTTTGATTGAATGCGTAGTTATCTAATGACTGATTGAACTTAAAAAATGATGTCCGAACAAAACGAACAAGTCATTATCTAAATTGAAAGTCTTTTTATGCATTTTCAGACATCAGAAAAGAACTCGGCTTAAAAGTATCAGGGGAAAATCGACTTCAGGATATGCTATTCTTTTTTGTACTTTTTGAAATCTAAGAGATTTTGTTCTGAGTGATGAAAAGAAATGACAGAGACAAAAAATGTGATCATATTTAAGCAAACGAGCTTCCTGAATCAGCACAGAGTAATGCCTTTTGAAATCAACTTCAAATTTTTTTTACCAATCTGAATACTTTTCATACCTTTTCCTTTTTTGTATTTCTGGTAAGGATTCAAGCAATAGATATCTCTAAATCAAAACGGACGTATCCGTTGTAAATGATTAAAACAGTCGGCGATGTAGGAAGTGGACGTTTTTTTCACAGGAACTAGCCAAAGGTCACTATGGTTTAAATTTTTTGGCCGAACAAGCCTGTTTATATAGTTCAGATGCATGCAATTAAAAACTTAAATTACGTGAGAAATTTCAATTACTTATATTGTGGCGAGGAGTTCAATTACAACACTTAACTCAAGATATAAATGTGTATAAGTGGTGTTTTCTCACAGTTTAGGGCAAGACCAGAGAATCTTCGAAAAAATAGGTAATTTTAGATCGGCTTTTTCTTGAAAGTTCAAATTTTTTGAATCATGAGAACAAAATGAACTGCTCATATCTGATTGCACTGAAGATATCAATGCGGGAATACTTTGATCTTTTTCTGCCATTTAAAGTTTAAAAAACGTATATCCGCCCTTAATCATATGTTACCCTTTGGTAAATTGATGAGCACCCCTTTTCATTTTAAAAACTAAGTAACGTAAAGCAGGAAGCTCAGTTGTGAAGCTCAATTTCGGCGTGAGCAACATCCTGCTTTGATGATTTAGGAAGAAAAGTTTCCGGTAACAACTACCCTAAACGGAAGCTAAAAAGGTTTCAAAAGGTCATTTACATGGGATCGTTTTGATGGACTCTTCAACTTTTAAAAAAATACTTTACAGGAAGTTTTTAGGCACATTGTATTTTTAAAAAATCAGTTTTAAAAACAGCACTAGTGTCACATTTGAATAAATTTTGGTGGATGTGCTTATAATAAAGTTTTATGTGGATGCTCTTAATACAGGCGCCAATATTTATTCTAACAGTTCTTTTTGCCATCAAAACCAATGGCTCAACAAGATCAATTAAATTTTATAATATGAATCTCTAGAGCTGTAAGGTTTATTGTTGTTCCGACTTTCGATACGAAAGTAACGGAATATTTGTGCTCGGGTGGGTTTTTTTCTTCAGACAAATTCCGACTTTTTAACTAGCCATTTTGACGGAATTTTTTTAAATCATTCAAACGATATTTTTGTCCTGAGCTTAAATTTGAAAAGATATTTCACTTGTGATTATTTCTTGTAAAGTTATGGGGGTATAAAAATTGCCATTTAGGCCGATTTGGGACAATTAACGCGCAATATTTTTCGCGCTATTAACGCGTAAACAGAGATTTAATCCGTCTTAGAAATCGTTCCAAATTGGTTGAAGGAAGCTTTTTTGCCATAATTGATTTGTTAAAAGGAGCAAAATCTATCACTTTGTACTTAACATGACGTGTGGGTGGATATTTTTACAAAAAACTCAAATTTTTTATTACATTTAAATTTTTCATGTTATTGCAACTCCAAGGACCTCAAAAAGCAGTCGGAACATTCAGGGCTTTGCCCTGATACGAGCAGTCTTGCGTGCGTATGGTTTTATGGGAAAATAAAAACAAATGATAACAAGACTGCTCGTATCAGGGCGAAGCCCTGAATGTTCCAACTGCCTTTTAAGGTTTATGGAGCAGTAGTAACATAAAAAAATTAAATGTAATAAAATAAAATAAAAAAAAAATTCTAAAAATTCTAAATAAATCATCGCCCCACACGCCATAGAAAGTACAAAAAAATTGATTTTGCTCATCTAACTAACTAATCAATTATGGCAAACAAGCTTTTTTCAACCAATTTGGAACGATTTCTAAGACGGATTAAATCTCGCTTACGCGTTAATAGCGCGAAATATATCGCGCGTTAATTGTCCCAAATTGGCCAAAATGGCAATCTTTAAACCCCCATAATTTTACGAAAAATGATCACAGGTGAAATATATTTTCAATTTTAAGCTCAGGACAACAATAGCTTTCAATTGATATAAGAAAATTTTGTCAAAAATGGCTAGTTAAAAAGTCGAAATTTGTCTGAAGAAAAAAACCCACCCCGAGCACAAATATTCCGTTACTTTCGTATCGAAAGTCGGAACAATTAGACAATGCGTGCGTATGGTTTTATGGGAATCAAAAAACAAATGATAATTAGACAATGGTAGAACGGAAAAGGAGTTTACATGTAATTGCGTCTAAATTGTTAAAACAAGGGAATTCAGACTACTTTTAATTGACAGAATAAACGTGTGAAGTTGAGACTGCCGTGATTTTGAAGCAATTCCTTAGCAAAGAATTAGTGATCAGCTGCACCTTGACTTGTAATGCCTTGAACCGAACACTGATCGCGCAGTAAAAAGAGATCAGCCCCAAACCGACATGTAATGTAATAGTTTTGACAAATTACTGATTACGTGTGTGTATTGACTAGCTCTACCCCAACCTGTAACGATTGGACCAAACACTGAACGCCACATGGGTTCATTGATTCGTGGTTTTCTGATCATTAATATATCGGCTTCTTGGATCTCTATTTTCACAACTAAATCAAAAATTGTTCAGTAGATCAATCTCCATTTTATCTCCGTCTCAATCTCCCTTTTACTTTATTTACCCGTATAATTATTTAGATCTACTTAACAATCTCCTCCCCCCCCCCCCGAAGTATCTACTAAAGAATCTTCACTCCTGTAAATATAAACAGTAAATTCGCAGTAGAGTGTTGCATGTAAATTCGAATTTTGCTGCATTCTGATTGGGCGAAAATTCGCTGCAAGTAATCTACGTAACAATCCCCCTCCCCCTTTCAAGAAAGAGGGGGAGATTTTTAAGTAGATCCAATTATTTTCCTGTATTCAATTTCCTCGCCCCGAAATTATGATAAGACACCGAGTTTTGGTTTTAAATTGATTGTAAAAGTATTCAGAGTAAGTATAGTTAGTGTTAGGGATCTACAAAATGATTGCAAAATGTCTAGACGACAGTTAAGTGAAACCGATCAAAAAATTCCGAAAATAAGAAACGTTAGAGATTTTGAGAAGAAAGAGGGATTTGATCGAACTTCTGAGTTGAATTGACATGGTTCGCTCAGCATTTCTGTAATGGCAAAAAAACGGACAAGGTTGTTTCTTTTTCTGTTAAGTTCTTGTTCTTCGTTTCATGAAACAGAGATCAAAATTTCTTCAAAATGTGACGTCTTCTTTTTCAAATCGCATTAGCAGATTGTCTCTTTACAATTAAAATCGTCATTACAAATTAAAGCCTCAAACATACAAATTGTGAAACTAAATGACGACAATAATCTATACATTGTTAGACAGTACTGAGTACACCAATTGTTTCCTTCAGCCTTTCAGACCGTTAATCAGAAGCAGAGTAACAAACATTTGCATTAACAAAACAACATACACAATATAGTATGTTAAAAATAATGTTAAGAATCATCTGAGATTTTTTTCAGATAAAAGCTTATAAACTTGACAATGTGGATCAAATTAAGTGCGCTTTGTCTTCAATTTGTAAGCATATAGTAACTATAGACAAATAGTTAATCTGGGCTCAAAGTGTTCCGTCAAACTGAGGCAAAATCATTTTTTTTCTATTTAGCTTTTGAGGTGGAAAGTTCAAAAAATAGATTTTTTTTTGTAAATTAAAAGCTACTTTGTAGATCGATCATGGGCATTGAGAGTAGCGTAGTAGTATATACCAGCCGAATATACTAATTATTATAAAAAAAGTTGTGTAACAATTATGTAGCAGTTAAGAAAGTCATGCAAATTTCATTGATATGACGTAACTTTTCGGCTGGATTTTACTTCAGCTGGTTTATTTACACTCAGGATTTACCGGTGCAACTTCTTGATACGATCTGTGTTTATTATGTAATTTCTGTTGTTACTGTCAAGTATATATATAGGATGTAACGTGTGTGCTGTGTTTCAGCTAAGCAGGCGGTGCAGTTGTGGTACAGACAGTTGAGGAGTATGGACATTGCAGAAGTAAGCGAAGAGAGATTCCACTCCATCTGTGAGTATTTCAACAGTGCCGAAGTACAACAGTGCCAAAACTAAAAATGTGTTCAACAGTGCCAATATTTGATGATATTTGAAAATGTTGAGTTCTGTTTGTGAACTGTTGGCAATTTTGCTTAAATACTGTTTTGTTGTTGAGCAAAACTGAGAAGAAAATTTGACAATTTTGCTGAGTTAATTGTTAGTCCAGAAAAATTTTGCGCCGCGCTTCGGGAATGTTTGTTTGTTGAACAAGCAGATCAATTACAATCGTCGTTTTTGTTTTTTCAACTTTCTGTCTTTCTGAATATAATTTGTCAGTGATTTGGAATGATAAAAAAAAATTTCAAAAAATATTTTTTGAACCGTTGAACAAAATTTTCGACACGGTTGTACTCCCCCGATCACGCTAATGCGCTGCTTGGGTTTTTTACTTGATCTGCTGAAAAATCAATGTTTCCATATCTTGAGCTGAAATTATTTTGATTCAATCTGGTTGGCCAATAAAGTTTCTGCACCATCTCAAAATGTTTTATTCACAAGCTTAAGTCGACTTATAAATAAGCCGAATTGGTAAGACTATAATATGTCTCGTAAACTACTCATTTTTTTTTTCAAATAAGATGCAGAGTTTTACCCAGACCAGAAAACAAAAATACAGAAAACATCTCTAAGAGAAAAATAGACCATTTTCACATCTTCTCAAAATTTGGCCTGGTTAGAAATCAGCTAAAAACTAAAGTGATCGAATTTGTTTTAACAAAATCAATCAGTCCGGTCAATTTTCTTTTCTTTTATACAATGAATATTGCAAATAGCAAAGTTAAAATTTTTGTGCGGAATAAGTAAAAAGGCCCATTTGTTTTTGTAGTCACTGGTATTATTAGTTATTTACATAATGTTTAGTAATTCACAAAAATTTGATTATTTATATTTAGTTTTTTACATAGTCATTTAGTTATTTACATAAAAAACAGCTGAAAAATTGAACAGATTTAATTGATTTTTGACTAGAGATTTTCATTTTTCCAGCTGGCAATTAACTAAGTTATTGCAAAAAAGTTACGGCAAAACTCCGCCAAGATAGACCTCAAAACTTAAGGATGACGTGTTCATATTTTCATAGGTTTCATCATATGTTTTATCGGATGTTTCGTCGTAGGTTATGTCCTCTGTTCCATCGTAGAATTTACCATATGCAGAAAAAAAAACAAGTTAATAGCAAGTAGCACATAAAGTTCAGACCATAAAATTAACAAATTTGTGTTTGTAAGTTCTGATCATTTCTACTCGTTTGGCGCTATGAGCGGATCTGAACTAAGGTCAAGAAATGAAGCTTATTCGATAGTAAGAGTGAAGAAGGCGCTATAAAAAGCTTCAAAAATGTTTACTCCCAGAGCAAAACTAAGTATGTATGTCTTAGTTCCGTATCATAACACTGCTCGCCTGCTTTATTTGCTCATAACTAGACCAAAAACCAAAAGTTTAGAGCCATTTTTCTCTATACTGCGGATTTTTTTGGAAATTTTTAAATAGAGTTCGATTGAAATGTGCAGGTGCTTTCATATAACATATCACTCGACCCCTTTCGACAATTTTTTCTGATACCTGATTTTGCACGGATAAAAAAATGTAGAAAAAAACTTAAAGACACCCACATTTACATCGGTTTTCAAAGGTCGGATCAAAAAGACAGCTAACCGGGTTGGTGTGTTCTAGTTAAGTTTTCGAATTTTTTAGTTATCAATTTTTTTAGTTTGGTTGTGTCAAAATTCAGATATTTCTTCAAAAGTACATCAAAACTTTGATTAGTACTAAGTTTTATTGGGAAAACATCGCGTCTCGGACTTTTGTCTAAAAGTGTGTGCTTCGAAGTTTTGTTTGACCGAAAGTGCTGTTTTCGATCACAGATTTTTGTTCGAACAACATCCGTATGTTTGACCGAATTTGGTCAAAACGGAAGCCGAAAACGTCAACTCGGGCAGTTTTGTTTTTAAAATCTTGAGTATTTTTAATATTAATAGTATGATTTATATTAATTTTAGTCATCTTGAATATAATTCGAGGGCTATTGCTAGGAAAACTTAAGCACCACACGCAGGGGTGCATCTAGAATTTTCTCGAGGGCGGGGGGCCAATTTTAAAAAAATAAGAAAATTTTTGTCGACCTTTTATTTTAGGTCGACCAATTTGGTTTTTTGAGCTCTCCTAAATCACTATAAAGACCCCATTTTCACCAAATTTTCTGCGCCGCATGCAAAATTTTGAAAAAAAAATAGGCCAAAAAAGGCGTTTTTAGGCAACTTTTGGAAAATTTTGACCCAAAAATTGGCACGCGCTCCCCTCTCAAAATTAGTATATATTGGCGCCGAAGGCACCTTTAGAGAAATTTTAGGGTCCGTCACCAAAATTTGATATCTCAAAATAGGACATATCATAAAGGGTGGACCCTTTGGGTCGCAGGGGGTCGAATTCCTGAGGGAGAGGGGCGTCTCCCTTAAATCCGCTGGTGACCGCACGCTTTGTATAGTCGTTTTAGATATATTTCAGTAAGTTTTTATATTATCTTTTTTCTTTCTAAAAGAGTGCTAAAAAGATTTAGATGGTCAAGAATTAATATTTGCTTTTTGTTTCCAGCCAGTTTCTGTCAAGTGGTGTGGGAAGGGAGCGAGTCAGTGGGAATTGGGGTCAGTTTCGGGAGGAGAGGGGGGTGCTATATAGTGGCCAACTACTATCCCAAAATGCACCTCAACTCCCTGCCCCGCTTCCTCCGAAATGTGCACCCCCCTCTCACCCCCTCCAGCGTACCTAGAGAGGAACAGTACGAGCTGTGGTGTTCACTACGCAACACTCATCTTCAGCATGAGGTCAGCTTACTCATTAAAAAAATCTCAAAGTAGAATAGCGAATGGGGTCGGGTGGGGAGCAAAAAAACTCTGTAGTTTCGGCAGAGCTCGAAAAATCTAAATGGTGACCATGACAAGGTTGACTAAACTTTTTGCAAAAACTGAACCAAATTGAATTTTGTTATTTCATTTATTTTTAGATGAAGCCGTTAATCTTCTTTGCTTCATCATTTAGATATGAAAATCAACGGTACCATAGTCGATACAGTTTGAGTATTAAAGTTTATCAGTTCTTAAAGCCTTGCTTTGACTTTTAATTATTGGCTTCTAGTCTCGTCTAATCTCATCGAACTTTTCTTAATCTATTACAAAAGGATAACGCCTGAAGTTAAAAGAACACGAAAAGTTGCGTTAAGCAGCGTAATTTTTTTTAACATTTGAACAATACATGATGGAATGCTTGAGCACTAAAAACGGCTCGAAAATGGCCAGGATTTACTTAGTCCGGCCCTTCTTTCATTTTAAAATCAACAGTATTAATAAAATATTCTTTAAACGAATAACCCAGATTTTTTTTTATAATATATTTATAATATTTTATATATTTTTTTTTCATAATATCGAAGTTTTTGTCAACTTTTTTACGCCGACCAAATTGATTTTCCGAGCGCTCCTAAAAAGCTATCTATAAGGACATACCCTATTTTGACAAAAGTTTTGGCCAAAAAATTGTGTTTTAAGGTTTAAATTTTTAGCACGCCCTCCCTTCAAAATTAGTATATACTGGCGCCAAATTGAGTTTGGTCGGCAAAACATTGATGACATAAATCAATACCAAGACCCTTTGGTTGGAGAGGGGGTCGAATCCCTGAGGAGAAGGCAGTCCCCCTACACCGCTGATATCCGGATTTCAGTTTGATGTGGCTCTTTTCCAGTTTATAACCTGTGACTTTTGCTAAAATCTGATTTACTAAAAGCTTTTTTAAATGATATTTGCTGCTAATCAGGCCCCAAAGAATTTCTGCCCGAATTCTTAAGTAAACATGCGTTTATTACAAAAAGTTACCGTTTACTATCACTTACGAGCAAAGCACTTATAATTCACAATAAAGCATTACAGCGTGAACTAGTGAATATATAGAGCTAAAATTTCAAAATTCTACTACTGAACAACTAATATTGCGGTTTTTGGTGAAAACTTTCCTACAAGTGCCTAAAAACGCTTTTTTGACCTGTTTTTTTTTCCAAACTTCGATGGTAGACAAAAAATTTGACCAGAATAGAAATGAAAATTTGAAAAGTTTTTTTTTAAAAAAGTTTTTAAGTTTTTAAGCTTTTTTTTTCAAGTTTTAATAATGAAGCATATTTTCAGGACGGGGATGATTCCAATCAGCAGTTTGACAAACTCCTGGCAGGTGAATTATCAGGAGGGTCCGCCAGATTTCAAAGAACCTGGGAAATGGCAGTGGTCGTTGAGAACTTCAAAAGACGAATCGTTTCAGGTCCAGAGTCGGCTGGAAAAACGAATCAAGCCCAAAAATAAAGACAATTTCGCAGTTATGAGTCACTCACGTTTTCCAATCAAACGTCACAATTTTATTTTCACGCATTGATAAGTTATTTTGTTTTTATTTTTAGATTTGAATCATTTGATATTATTTGAAACGAGTTCCTAGTTATTTTTGATATTGGGTTAATATTTAAACTAGATTTTTAACACATGCTTTTCAGAACTCAAAGAAGGTTTTCGTACCGGGATTTAATTGGCTCGTAAAACTTCCGCTGTGGTGTTTAGAAAAAAAACTCAATATATTTTGCTCACCCTAGAAGAGTTAAATCTCCAAAAAGTTATTCAAAATTTGTTTTTAAGCAAAGATTTTGGATCTTATATAGTAAAAATCACCTTTCTTGACTATCAAGCAAAAAAATTTTCTCTTATACGGGTTTTTGAAGCTTTAACTCTTCCAGAACTTCGTTGGGCTGTGTAAGAGGCTTTTGTGAAATTATTATCGCATCAATTAATAAAGTAGTTTCAGCGTTATTTTCGATTAATTGAAAAAACCTAGAGTGATCTATGTTAACGATAAAATCTTGGTTGAGAAATTTGGAGAAAAAATTAAACTTTATTAATTCTGATGAAACTCTAAGCAACTTTTTTTCTCTTCACTTTTTGTCTGATCTTAAACCAATTTGAGAAAACCGCGTTTGAAAAATCAAACTTCGTTCATTTTGTCCAGATAATTTGAATCAGCACTGTAGTTCCTAAAAAATATCTTTCATGGAAAATCACACTCTAAGGCCACAGCCGTATTTGTTGTACAGCTATTGTTGTTTGTGTGGTTGAAAATCTATTGCACGTCGAACTCCAAGCCAAAATTAAATCAAACAGTCAAAACATAGGTCGAGAAAAATCAAATTTTCAATTTAGCGCAGTGAAAACAGGTAGAATTGTTAGAAATAACAAAATTTTCAGTTGCCAGACATAATACTACAAAAACTTTAATAAAAAATTGGGCATGTTGAATTCAAGACATTTCAAGCTAAAAACTGAAAAAATAATCGTATTTAAGCAAAAGGAGTTTACATTAGATAAAACTCATGAAATTAAGATTTGCGAAGAATTTTAATGAAACCAGCATTATTTGGACGCAAAACTGTATTCCATGTTTTGAAATTTTGTTAGCGCTTAATGTCTATTTCTAAAATTCAATATCCAAAATTACGCAAAATTTCATCGCTGAAAATCTGATAATAAAAAAATGGACAAACTGCATTTGATTTGCAGCTCGAATCAGCAATTAAGGCGTAAAAATGATAAATGTTTGAAATTGAAAAAGATTTTTTGTAGTAGCTGAAAATTTGGGTTAAAAGACATCGCAAGCCATATTAGTTCCATAGCGTTTTTTGATTAGAAAAAAAAACGAAAAAATCATCGTGCAATAAAAAAAAACAAGAGTAACGGTCGCTGAGCAAGCAGCACAGAAAAATGTGACAACAGTATTTTTTTAACTAATTTTGCAAGAAAAAACTGAAATCAAAACAAATAGTTTAAAAATGTTTTGTTTTGTTTATTTTTTTGCAGAATTTTGTTCAAGAAAAAGTTTATAGCAGTCCGATAAATCCTTGATCTTTTCAATGTAGAAAAACATTAGGTTGACTGTCAAAGTGTAGAGTGGCTTAAAAAGCTTGGTTTGCTCAAAAAAGCAAAAATTTAAACTCGGATTTTGTTGGCACAGTAATTTGTTTGTTTGAGAAATTGATCAAACACGACAAAAAATGAGAAAAAATGTCACTTGAACCCCGTCTACTAATCTCACGTTTTCTCCAGATACCTGATTTTGCATGAGAAAAACAACCAGCCATTTTCCAATCGGAACAACAAAAACGTTGGAAGTGTTGAGGTTTTAGTGATTTGATTAGGCTTTAGAAACTTATTAGAGCTGGCCGGAGTTTTTCTAGTTTGCTCATTTGTCTAGTCTAAAAGTCGAGACAATCGAGCCGGGCTCATTTTTTGCCGAGCCAGCAGGAACGTGTATGATTTGGGTCGAAAGTAGTCTCGTGATCCGCTGACACTACAACAAGGGGAAGGTGGGTTTACATTGGGGTTACTGTGAAAAACAAAAAATCTATTGCGGTCTCCAGAATCGGCCATGTGGTTTTTAACAAGGGGAAATTTAGTGAATAATGCTTGGAGATATGTTTTCGGTTTAAAGAATAAATGTATTTTTTGTCCTTGTTCTATGAAATGAATATCTTGTACATATGAAAAGGTTGGTATATAAAGAGATTTATTAGCAAAAAATTAAGTGTTTTGTACATACTGGTGCGATAATTAATTTGAGGTTTCCAAAAAGCCAGTTAACTACTGATAGATCTTAATTTTGAAAATGGCGCTTGCCGGTAAATACTCGGTGTGCAAAAACATATGAAAAACAGAATAAAACTTCAAAAATATGAAAATTGTTGGGACACTGAGAAATGTTAAAAAAATGTTTCCAGTTTTTTTAGCCGCAGAAAAGAAGGATTTGAAGTTTTTCAAATTTTTATCACTCTTGCGACAAGCAAAGATATTGCAATTGGGTACAAGATTTTTTTCCGTAAGCAACTTTGTTCACAGGACTCATCTGGGCTCCTAGTTGATACTTTTTCAATATGCATTCACCCTTTTTAGTTTATCCTGGACTCTTAGCCAGCTGGTAAAATTACGCCTGTGACGGCAAAAGTCATCCTTTCGAAACTGACAAGGATATGTTTCTTTTTCAAAAAGGAAATATTCTGTTTCAAGTAAAATTGTTGGCCTGGCGGCTGTCTGTTTAAATTTTGTCAGCTTACTAGCCACATGCGAATGTCGCTTACTTTCGCCATGGACAGTTTTCTTTCTTTTGCTATAGTGTTTTGGCACTTTAATTATTTGGTCAAATCGAAATTCGATTTTAAATTTGACTGTAATTTTACCAACACAATTTGTTAATTTTTTTTTTCATTTCAAATTTTTCGACTTACTGTTCGCTGCTGATTTTATATCGACAAGATACTCTAAAATAATCAATTTTAACTCCCTTTGTATCTTTGAAAAATTTTGAACAGATTTGTACAAATAAAAATCTTTGCCGGACATTTTTTTTGTTTTTCTAGTTGTTGTTACCAATAACAAATTCGAAGTCCTCTTCGATAGTTTTTATAGTCTTGCTGTATTAATCTCCTACTTTTTGTTTTGTAAGTGTTGAGAAGCTCAAAAAATTGGGATCTGAAATTCAAGTTATGAACTGAAAGTTTGAGATAAAAAATTGGAATATATTCGAACTACTCTGGAATACAGCAAGATAGTTGAGAAATTAGGTTGAACAATCAAAACTTCTCAAACATCCACAAATTGATTGTAAACTGAGTATAGTAAATGATTTCTTGGAAAATCGTTTTAGAAAAAAATAACATGCTTAGTTTCCAAAAGAAAATAAATATTTGTGAAAAATATTAACAAAACTTTTCTCTTTTTAGAAGAAAACTGTGCCGAACTGCATCTTTCATTCTGTGCCATTGTAACTTATGTACCTTCTGATAGTATAAATAGGTTTTCGTGCAGATAAATTTTCATCAATTTCGTTCAAGCCACAGGGTACAATTTCTTCAGAGCTGAATACCCTTTGGTAGTACCCTTGATCAAGCACTTCGAAAATAAATAGTTCTTTCCCTAAAGAGCTGGTCGAAAAATGTTTCGATTCATTTTCAGGCTTATCTTTTTTTATCGAAAAAGTTTTCGACTAACAAAAAAAATTGGCTATCAGATGGTGTCAGTGATGAAGGTAAGTAGCTTATATTATCATGGAAAAGGTATCCTCTGCTGCTGTCTAATGAGATTGTGATAGTTTGTTGCTGACTACAATTTTTCGTAGTACTTTTTTTGTTTTGATAGTATACTTTTTCACTCTCATAGTATTTTTCCCGAAAGAAATCTTTCTGAACCGATCATTGTTCTGTTGGTTAATTATAACTCCTTTGGCAGACATTTGGTGCGTGCCTAAACAGAGCCATACAAATTAACATAAAAAACCGCCAATTTGTCAGGCAGATTTGCGAGATTTTCTTAAGGAACAATAAGTACAATTAACCAATTTTGTTTAGTAAACAGTAGAGTTTGGGTTTTTAGGCGACAAATTCCTCCAACACTTTTCCTCTCAGTTCATCTTTCATTTTCAGGAAAGATTAAGATTTGTGTGGATGGTTGGTTAAATCGAAATTGCGTTCGAAAAGTTTAGAGTCTCGGTAAATGACTTCTTATTTAACAGCATATATATTAGGCTATCAGTTTTGTTGTAGAGCTATTCCAACTCAATATTTGGTTTGATTGTCAGATAATGACAATCGAACACGAACAATTCAGCTAAATCAAGAAACAACGCTTCAATAGTTGTAAGCTGATCCCACTTTATTTTGTGAACAGAAAAAAGACCGAGTCACTTCTTTGTCGATTCTTTGAAAAAACTTCAAATAACTCTGCAAAAATATCTGAAAAACTCAGATTCACTTTGAATTAACTTCAATTTTCTCCTGTTATTTTCATTCCTCGTTTTTTCGAAAGCTGAAGTGACAATAATTTTAGAAATCTTCGACAATTTTTTTTTGCTATTTTCGGTGACAATCATAATTTTTTTTCTATTACAGTGTCAAATAGTGTACTTGTTGTTTTTAGAGAGTTTTCATAAATTTGGTAATCTTTGGAAATATTTTTAGATTCACTGTTGTGGGCAGTTCAACCTGATCCCCGCTCATTTTTTTGTTTGTTACAGCTGCTATTGTTGGGGCGAGAGGAAAAGTAAAATTACTGTTGCCACCAACCGATTAACAAGAAAATTGACATGCGGAATAATCGGGCCATGACAAACATGTTTGGTCTTCATAATCAACCTTGTAAAACCACTCAGTACATCATAAAATAGATGCTCATACGAGGTAGGGGGGGGGGGGAGGGAAAAGAGCTTGTAGCCTAAATCTGAACCTTCCGTGGGAACAAGAATTTAGGACAGGAATTCCTATACAGTGTCAAAATCTTTCACGGCAAGTCTGATTTATTGCATTTTCTTCTGTAAAAATAACAAGACTGCTCGTATCAGGGCGAAGGCCTGAATATTCCGATTGCCTTTTAAGGTTTATGGAGCAGTATTAGTTTATAAAAAATGATGAATATTTCAAAAGTAAAAACACAAAAAAAAATACGTAATTTTAGAGTTTTTCTTAAATCATCACCCCGCACGACATATATTTGAATACTTTGATCAATTATTTTGCCCAAATTATTTTAAAAAAGCGCCTGAATCGGACTTATTTGTTATATTTACATCACATGTGTTAATAGAAATTGCAATTTTTTTGGCTTTTAATTATCTCAATTTGAACAAATCGGCAATCTAACTTACGAACCCTCGTAGTTTAAGAAATTTTGTCGAAAGTCAAAACTTTTTAATTTTGATCACATGGCATTTATTTTCTACATACTCCAAAAAATCCATCTGAATTTGCTAATTGGAAAGTTGAAAACTATCTGGAGGAAAAAAACCACCTCGAGCATAAATAATACGTCACTTTCCTAAAAAATCTGAGCAACAAATAATTAACGAGTAAAATTGGCGTTTAAGGAAAAGCGTCAAAATGTAACGTATTTTTATCAAGTGGTAATTGGAAAATCGTGTTGAGCTTAGAACAATAAAAGGGAAGGAAAGTTCTTTTTTCACTTTTATCTACAAAATGATTTTTTGTCATCTCTTGTTGTGTCGAATGCTAATAAGATAACGGCTTTTAAATTTATTTTTAACTATAAAATAGATATAAATAACTTCAGTAGCGTTTTTAATGTCTTATTTTGATACGGATACGCTTTGCTATTTTGGCTGAAAAAAAACGTCCTTCAAAGTTATTTTTAACTTATGGTTGAATTGAGACGTTCAAAGAATATAAGCAGTCGTAACATAAAAAAAAATTAGTTTGAAATTGTCGTTAATTGTCCCAAATTGGCCAAAGTGGCAATTTTTAAACCCCCATTACTTTACAAAAAATGATCACAGGTGAAATATCTTTTCAAATTTAAGCTCAGGGCATCAGAACTTTTTAATTGATATAAAAAAAATTTCGTCAAAAATGGCTAGTTAAAAAGTCGAAATTTGTCTGAAGAAAAAAAAACTTGCCCCGAGCACAAATGTTCCGTTACTTTCGTATCAAAAGTCGGAACAACAACCATCAAAACTGATTATGATGCTTGATACATCATTTGGACAGTAAAAAAAACCTGTTAATCTCTTTTCACTAAAACCGATGAGTTTCCATTCCAATTCGAATCAGTATTTCACTTACTTTCAAGTGTTTTTTTTTTTCGTTCAAGTGCGCTTAGTAGTTTTCTACAACAAGCGGCTCGATGTGTTTCACGGCAGACGATTCTAAACTGTTCAGTTTAGTATTGTTTTTTCAATCCTTGTTTTTCAAGTAATTGAGATACTACTTGACATTTTTTCAGGTCCAGATACGGGAACAATCAAAACTCCAGCTCAAAACAAGTAGCACGTGGAGTAAACCATCCAGTTAAGGTAATTTTTGTATTTAAATATCTAGTAGAGGCATTGCTATTTCTTAAATTTCTGATCTGCGACACATTTCATGGTGATTTCTTAAACATATGAAAACACTTGAGATATATGTTTTTTTCTCGTTGGCTTTTCTTTTGACCAAAATCAACAAGCTTGCGCAGATCTTCTTTTAGGACATAGTTGTGGTTATCAGTAAATCAGCACAGCCAACAGCATACAAGTTTGTATTATAATAGTCCAGTTAAAATTGCACTATAGACACATTTGGGCTGAAAGTTGTCTGTGGGTCACTTTTTAGCTGCAGCTTTTTTTGAAGTTGTGCTACTCGAACTTTAGTAATTCCATTTTTACGCTACCGGACTGCCTATACGCTGAAAATAAAATAGATTGATCGCACATCGCATACTTGATTTTTTGGTTATTTTTGACAGCAAAATAATATCTGAACCACTTCAACTTTCTATGTTTTAAAATCTATTTTGATAAATTGTTGTCATTTTTTTCCTAAATACGTTTATTTGCACGTTTTTGAGGTATTCAAAGCATTCAATATCAAAGAGACACATTGGTTTTTGATGATTTGCCTGGTCTTTTACAAGGTCTGGTTGCTTCTCCTAATCATATGTACTGACTTGACCTTTTTTTTGCCATTTTTGTGTGGTTCGTAGGAAATGTTGTTTTTTGATATTGAGTGGTAGGCAGCACAGAAAAAAAACAATTATAGTCAGCAGTACTGTGGACTATCACTAGGTTCCGTTTTGCTTTTTTTTCAGTAATTGGGATAATTTATTTTATGACCTTTCCCGTATCAGGGATAAATTAGCCAAACATAATGTTTCATCAGCTAACCTGGGAGGCGAATGTGTTGAATGGGTTCAGCCTTTAGTCTGCGGTATCGCCAAAATTTTTGAACTGATAAGCTCTGAAAAGAACTAATTTACATATTTGTATTCACACAAAGAATAGTTCTGTCGGGTTGAATCTCTGAATCGTCCTTGATTATTCCAATTTCTTGTAATCAAGAACGAATTTGAAATCTTGTAATCATAGTGAACTTCCTCTTATAAGGAGCCTTCTATATCTTTCTATGTTCAATTATTTTAGGATTTGAACTTAAAAAATACTTCAATTATATCTGACAGACGAACCAAATTAGGAAAAAGAAGATTTAAGTTTTATTGCATTTGTACCAATGAAAGAACTCCTTTTTTGATCCGGTGAAAAAATTGAGTTTAAGGGTTGTAACCAGCAGCGCTCCACAAAACTCTGTACTTGAGCCACTCTTACTTTTATTTTCTATGAAAGATCTGCTGGACAATTTACCTCAAATAGCTAGCTAGCGTTGAGCGGATGACTTCAAAGCAATAGTATCTAATTCGGAGGTTCTTAACATTGTAAGAAAATTAGTATCAAGAAACGGCTCGAAGAAAACAAAATGACATTTAATATCAAAAAATAAAATGTGCATAAAATCAAAGAAAACTTGGAAGCTACCTTACAAGATCCTTCTTCGGCGGGAGCAAAGAGACAAAAAGGTCTGGAACAAAAAAAAAATACTATCCAGCATGTTGACATGGGCGGAAAACTGTAAATCTCGAATAACGAAGATTCTTATTGTGCTGTATTATATTAAGAGAAACTTAACGCGGAGAGAAACTTGGTACGAAAAATGGCATTTTTTTTCAAACTGCCCACTATATAAGCTATCCATTTTATTGCGATGTCTACCCATTATTTTGCCAAAACACTCTGCCAATAGTGCGTTCACACAGTACACTTCGAGGCCAAACGGTGCATTCTGTTCATTGTAAGCGGAATCCGCAACAGGCCAAAATCAGATTTGTCGCGGAATCCGCAATATTGCTACTTTTCTTCGATTTTCTCTGCTTTGGATTCCACAAACAATTACCTTCAACATTATACCGCTCGAAATTCCTCCAAAAATAGGCGAATTTGCGGAATCCAGAACCGTTTGTGGAATCCACGGCATATCTAAGAAAAATTTAACATTTTGCTACCATTAGAGGTTGATTAATGTCTCAGTTATCAACTGACTTCCTCAGAAAAAGCTTTTAAGTGCAAGCTAGGCTGTTTCAACTAATTGGCTCAAATTATAGTTTTAATCGATTTGTATATTTTTGCCTGAAAGTAATTTTGATTATGGTTAAGCGGCTTGTTCTCATGTATGCTGTATTATCACTAAAAAGAAGTTAGTCGTTTCTTAACAAACAAAAAACAAAATTCACGAAAATTGAGCTTTTAGATTAAACCTTTTATTAAGTTCAACTACTCTACAAAAACGGTTTCGAGTTATAGTATATTGCTTAATTTTTTTCTGATTCGTCTAACAGGCTTTTCGATAAACTCTTTAAACAAAACAATTTTGACTGTTAAATTAATATGGTCCAACTATTTTTTTCTGAATTTTTTATTTTGAATGTTTCAGGATTGAATACGTTTCAGGATTTGTCTCTTTGCCCACAAACGTGATCGTAATATTACGTTAGTTTTTTCAGTAATATATTTGAAACCAAAGTTTTTGCATTCAATCATTTTCCAACTGATCTGTTCAAAAATTAAAACTCTTGAGTTGAAGCCGGTGTATGAGAAATCAAGAAACAAAAACTGCATGAAAAAAATAAGGCCGGAGCATTATGCGTCAACAAAGCATCTACATTCAATGTTCCAATTATCTACCTGTGTAACAAAAAACAATGCTTTTGAGTTTTACTATTTCGACCACCCTTACTCAATCTTACAATCTAAGCGTCTTTAAATAACGACCACAAACATTTGAGTGTGTGGTCGTTATCATAACTAAGTTTTTTTTTAAATGAACAATCGAATTTATTTGATTTCTACTTATCGAAAAACAGATGACTTTGTGTCCTCATTTATAGAATGAACTGGATAAAACATATCTTTTTTTTCAAAAAGTAAGGTGACGTTAACTTAATTAGAAAGCGTACAATCTTTCCCCGAATTAAATTTAGGTACAGAAAATACAGATTTTTTTTCAGAAATTAACTTTTAGTTAGGCTTAATTCATTTAACCAGCAGTATTTCTTTGAGAGAAATGTTTAAAAACGTTGATTTAGGCAAGCCAATTTACTTATGGGTTTGATCAAAATGCATATTTTATACAAAGTTTAGTTTTTTAGTTCAAAAAATGGCTGGGGGAGGGGGGAGAGATTCTACGGTAGGTCAGTAAGGGAAGGGCGAGGTTGTAGGGTAGATCAATCATTCCAGTCAAAAAAACTTTTTAAAAAATCGTTAGTTTTTTGCAGTAATAACGGTGATCGCAACATTCAGTGGTATTTGTTCAGTATTCGTCTGCCCTTGTTCAAGGAATTTTTAATTGAGAAGTTCCTCGACAACTTGAAGAAGGACACACGTTAACCGGATTTGCAGCATCGATTACAAACTTACTCAAATTTTAAAAAATTTCACTACAATTAAGAGGAAAAAGAATTATTTTGAGCCATGTAATATACAAGATAAAACATAATATACAATCAACATTTACGTTATTTTACAATTTTGGCTATTTATGTTAGATGATACGCTTCATCTAAACTTCATCGTGATTTCTGACTAGTTTTAAGCGTATAGTTTCATTGTCAGCAGCGCTTGATATGATGATAATGAAAAGTTTTTTCTTTCGGCAATTGGCATTTAATTCGATTCTCACGAGAATGACATGGTTTTTCAACTTTTGATTCGTGAGTCACTAAGTAGCCAGACTCATGAGCAGAGCTGTCCCTCTCTTTACCCAGTGGTCCGGACTCTTCTCTCCGGACTTGAGGTCGACTGCGACCACAAACGAGGGCCTGTTTCCGGCACCCGCCCTGTCGGGAAAGTAGTAGCACGGACACGCGTACATTCCTGCAAACAAACATAACGAAACATTAGATATTCTACATGAACAATTTTGATGATGCAAATCTCTCTGAAAGGACCCACTTAGAAAAAGCGTTGAACCTAATTAAATAGTCGTCTTCTTGCAATGGGATAGTTAAAATGATCATATAAATGATATATATTCTACGTGTTTTGAAAAAACTCTGGCTACTATGATAGCTTTGTTAAAAAATTAATCAACTCATTTAGAGTTTTATCTGAATATCTTCAAAAAATTTATCATTTATAAAATAATTTAAAAGAGCATTGGAAAAACTCGAATAGTCACTTAAAAAATAATTATCGCGAAAACATAAATCAAACCAAATGTTGCGCTTGATGGTATTCATGATGGATGATTATTCTAAATTGTAATATGGTCAGCTACCTGGGATACTATGATAAGACAGTGATACCTGGCTTTTTAGACACTGAAAGTTACCAAATCAATTTTCTACTCAGCTCCAATGTTTGTTTGAAGTTTAATTAAGAATTGGGCGTAACTTAAAATACTGTCCGGTAAGGCAGTAAAAGAAAAAAAAGCGGAAAAGGCTATTGAAAACAATTATATTTCATAACCAAATAAGTTTTCAAAAACAACTTGATTTTCAATAATAATTATATTTTAAAGCTGCAATTGTTCAAGAGAAGCTGCCTTAGAAACTCTTGACCGGCTTTTCAAAAAAAATTTTGTCTCTACAAAAACTTCTAGAAGGTGGGCAATTTAGTTTTTTTCAAAAACTCGGTAAATCTAAACAGGTCGGCGAAATTTTCAAATTCCCTTTTGCTAAAAACACGAAATCTATCTGATCCGTTTTGTACCTGAAACCATGGGTACTTAGTGTGTCTTCATTTACCTTTTCCGGCCTTGCGTTTGTTCTCGACTGGCTTGAAATGGATGCTGGGCATACCAGACACCAGCTGCATGGGCTCTGCTTCCACCAGGGTCGAGTTCTTCTTGTCCCATCCTGCACCTTCCAAGTACAGTCCCTTTAAAACAAAAAGACAACGATGAAAATATTACAATTTAACATTGGCATATGCGAGCGCAGGTTTTTTTGAAGGGCGGTTTTTGAAAAAAGTTGATTGTCTTTTTGAGGTCAGCCGTTACGAATTTCGTGCTCTTCTTTTAACTTTAAACTAACCACATTTTGCTCAATTTTCTCAGCCGTTGGCCGTTTTTGTTCCAAGTGAATGATCCAACGGCCCTTAACGTATCATATATTTTTTTTTGGTGGAAAATGAAAATTTCAGAAACAAACTTTATTTTAATACTAACGAGTGGCTCTGCTAAAACTGGAGGTACATCGTTGATAATTTTTGAATTTGTTGTACTAATGCTGGATGAAATTGCAAAAAAAAATCAAAAATTGAGCTTCACTCAAAACCTTAGTTGTTTCTCTCATAAAATAAGAGTGAAGGTTTTGAGGTTTTCCCAAACGACAATATTTTCGTACAGATTTAAGTCGTAGCCGTTTAAGTCGGATGCACGGATGCGTCCCACGACCTGTTGCCTCGATTAAAACCTTGATATCAGATTCAGTTAGGTAGTTTTCGAAAAGATTCACCAAGTTTCAAAAACCGGACAAGAAAACAAAACAATGACTTTTCTGAGGGCCATAACTTTTTTGCACAAAAATTTGGGCATCGCAGTTTATACAGGGGAGCTTTTCTGAACTTTTCTTTTGATTGAACCCCAGATCTCACATTTGAGATGGTAGTTTTCGAGAAAAGTTTCAAAAACGGTCAAAAAAATCATATATGAATTCTCGGAGGCCCATTGCTTTTTGTAAAAACTTGGGCGCAGCCGCTTATATAAAAAAATTCCTCGTAACCCTTTTTATTGAACCCAAAATCTCTAATTTGAGATTAGTAGTTTTCAAAAAAGTTGAAAAGTTTCAAAAAAAGTTCGAAAAATCATAATGACTTCTCCGAGGGCCATTACTTTTTGGTGTAAAAACATTTCGGCGTAGCCGCATGTATAGAAGAGTTTTTAAAGCCATTCCTATTCATTAAACCAAAAAACTCAAAATTGGGAGGGTAATTTTCGAGACAAATAGTGAAGAAGTCACTATTCAAAAAACGGTCGAGACAAATAGTGAAGAAGTCACTATTCAAAAACACAAATAGTTCAAAAAACGGTCAAAAAATAAAATAATTGAATTTTCCGAGGACCATTAATTTTTGTTCTTTCCGGTTGTGATAAGCTTAACTCTTTCTTTTGATTGAACCCTCAATCTCATGAGTATCATGAATATCGATCGGGTTGCAGGGCGATCGATACTCATGAATTCTTCGGAGTTTACATTTACATCGGATTTGGCAGAAGAAATTCTATCGCAAATTGTGCCTCCATTTGACACGCAAACAAAAATAAAAAACTCGTATCTGGGCAAAACCTTGAATTTTCCGACTGTTCCCTAAAGTATATAAAACTGTTTTTTAAACTGGTCAAATTCAAAAAACAAAGTAAAACAATTTTTTTTTGAAATCTGGCCCCACAGGCTATATTAAGTAAAAACTGATGTAATTAGCGTCTAGGGAAGTATTACTTACGCCAAATAGCTTGCCTCAAGTCAAGTTGGAACAACTTCTGAGCCCTATGCCGGACATGGCCGCGTACGCTTTAAAACCAAGAAATACATCGCGCAATAATTGTCCCATATTAGCCAAATTCACAATTTTCAAAACCTCATAACTTTTCAAAAAATTGTCGCAGATCAATTATCATTTGAGTTTGAGAACAAAACATTTCAGATTATCGAAAAATCCGGGTTCAAACATGCGATTTCAAAAACTGCAATTTCATCGAAAATTGTTTGAAAAAAATCTCACCGAGCTCAAAATCTACATCATCTTTTTTCCCGGAAAGTCGTATCAACAAAAACTGCTGGTAACAGGGCAGAAGCCTGACTTTTTTAACTGCTATTTACGGTATCTGCAATTTTTACCTCGCGCACGCAATTTTAAGTGCAAAAGTATATTTTTTTAACGGGAGAGTTCCTCAAACGCAAAACACCGAACAGGCAAAAATTTTGTCAACCAATCAGAGCTCAGTATTCAAAAATTCGAAAGAAAAAAGCGATAAAATCAGTCTGTTTTGAACAAGTTAAAAAGCGTTGATTGGTTGTGAATTTTCGTGCATTCAGTCCTTCGCGCATAAAAATAGTCTCCCTGTCTCATCTATCAAACTAGTTCAACTCATTTCAATTTCCGATGATTTCTGAGCAAAAATTTTTTGGAACTCACGCTACGCGTTAAGAGAAAAACCTGTAAATGGCACATTTCCCAAATCGGCTAAACTTACAAAATTCGAACCCAACAATTGGGCAGAACAAAATCAGAACAAAAATATGTTTTTAATTTTGGAGTTCAAAACATTAATATCCATCGGACTTCATTAAAAAAAATCATTAAAAATTGCTAGTTAAACGGCGAAATTTGTCTGGAGAGAAAACTACCCGAGTAGAGATATTTTGGAACAGCAACTTCGAATAAAAATACTTCAAGGATCGCAAACTGTTCTTGTTTGCAGGGAAAAAAGTTCAAATGATCGTTTTTTTAATGAATTTCAAATCATCGTACTGTCTTATTTTTGTTCCGACTTTCGATACGAAAGTAACGGAATATTTGTGCTCGGGGTGGGTTTTTCTTTTCTTCAGACAAATTTCGACTTTTTAACTAGCCATTTTTGACGGAATTTTTTTATTCCATTCGAAAGGTATTGTTGTCCTGAGCTCAAATTTGAAAACATATTTCACCTGTGATTTTTTTTCGAAAAATTATGGGAGTTTAAAGATTGCCATTTTGGCCAATTTGGGACAATTAACGCGCGATATATTTCGCGCTATTAACGCGTAAGCGGAGATTCAATCCGTCTGAGAAATCGTTCCAAATTGGTTGAAAGAAGCTTATTTGCCATAATTGATTAGTTACAAGCAGCGAAATCTATCCTTTTGAACTTTATCTGGCGTGTGTGGGGATGATTTTCATAAAAATTGCATATTTTAGAAACAAAAATTTTCATTTTATTTTCTTCCATTTAATTTTTTAATGTTATTACTGCTCCATAAACCTTAAAAGGCAGTCGGAACATTCAGGGCTTCGCCCTGATACGAGCAGTCTTGTTACCTTTTATATTACTTTTTTATCCTGACCGGTATAGTTGTTCTTGGTTTCATTTCCATGTACTAATTGAGCGACTTACCTTGATATAGGCACCGTCCCTGGGGGGCCCGGTGATGTTGCTGTCATCAATGGTCAACACAGTAAACTCCCACGAGAGAGAGTCCACTGAGATCTAAACAGAAAAAAAACTGTTTATTCAATTGCTAAAATAATTATCGCGCGTTAGCCTGAATTATGTTTATATTCACTGCTTTCAACGTTTTTGCAATCTTTAATGTATATTCCAGTTTTGCCACAATTAGAACTTTTTAATTTTTATCGCTGCATTTTGTCATCTGGAAACGTCTGAGACGTCTGAAAACGGACCAAAAGTCTTATGACAATCTCATAGGAACAAAAAACCTCATACCGATCTCACTAATTTGACATTCATTAATTTTATATAAACCTGAAAACAAATCATTGTTCCAACCATCGAAAAACTGTCGAGGAACACTGGTTTGAAATTTTTGACTTTTAGTCTAATTTCGAGCAAAAAAGCAAGTGGGTAGGCTTTTCATAGAAGGATAAGCCGCGCACTTCTATTCAAGCCCTGAAGACATAGTTTTCGAAATGTTTCGCGTCATTTTAGCAACAAAAAAACTTTGCAAAAAAATGGACAAATTGTAATTTTTTTTTGCATTTTTCGTTAATTTGTGGTCATGTTTCGATGAAATTTGTTGTCTAATATGCGTATTTTATTATGACTATCGAGAAAGCCAAAATTCTAGACAGAGCCTAAAGTTCAGAATCTTTCATCATACCACTCACAAAAAACAACAGTAATTTGAAAGAAAATATATATTTTGTAATTTCTTTTAAGGATATGGTCGTAACATTCTGACTTGCAGCTATCCTTGTTATTATAGGTTCCGGGGCAACTCGCAACAAAAGGCAACTCGCAAAATTTGACGAATGTGGCAACTCTTATTATTCAATAAACATAGCCAACAGTGGAAAAAAGAGTCAATGAACGCAGGAAAACAGAATTATTCAAAATCACCACTTTCGAATTTCAAAACAAAACAATTGGCCATTATTTTTTTGAATTTCTAAAACAGCTTATGATGGCTTTTTTTCGATAAAATTAACCCAACTTGAGAAAACTGGATCAATGGGTAAATTTTTATTTCGCTGAGAAATCTGAAAATTAAGTTCCATTTCCGATACCAGAAGTCGATCGTGTTTTTCAAAAGCCAAACCGCGAAAAAGTAAATTTGAGCCTGAATTTAAATCTTTTCCTGAAATAAATCATCACCACGGCCAATAAGGAGTCTGATATTTTCATCGACTCTTAATACGGATAAAACGCAACATTGGCAAAGTAGCGGGAGCTTGCTGTGCTTCAAATTTCGAAGACAACTCGCAAAACCATCATAATATGACTCACGTTGTTCTGTCTGGCGGCTGTCTGGAGTAAGGCAGTGAGGAATCCAGTGGGGAAGGTGAAGGCGGCCAGCCAGAAGATGGAGGGGGGCTTGGCGGTTGAACACCACTTCTCGTAGAAATCCACCCGCTGGATCAGGTCACGAGTCCACGAACCCAAAGGCTTCAACGTCGGGTAGGCCTGAATGGACAAAAAAGTTAGTTATCATGTTAATCCAGCATAGTTTATTCTTCGTGATGGAGTTTTCAGACATGTTTATTTTTCAAAATTTGCTGAGGGATTTTCTTATAACCTAGTATTTTTGAATTGACTTACTAGTTTTCGTGTTACTTTCCATCAAAAAAGTGAGCCAAAAAAACTTTTATGGTGAAATTTTGATTTCGAATTTCGCACAACAAATTGCACCATATTAAAACTGGTAAAATTCTAAACAATTCTTGTGTTCGTCATTTTACATTTTATGACTAAAATTAACCCAATTTGAGAAACATGTGTTTTATCTTTCGGAATTTATTCTTTTGGTCCGGATAATTTAACCTGAAAAAAAATCTGAATATACATTGAACTAGAAGGTTACTTAACAGAGGGGCCTTTTTGGTTATATCCGTAAATGATGAAAAGACGAGATGAAAAGTTTCAAAACAAAATTGGATCATTGTTACAAGAAAAAGGTGACTATCAAAATGGCGCCGGAAAAAATGAAGCAACTTCAGTTAATTTAGCTACAAAAAGTCCTTTTCCCAGTTTTTTTTGCCAATTTCTTCACAAAAAATTTACAAATAAGAGTCCAAATGCGTTCTGAATTGCCGTTTATTTCCTCACTTTTACAATTTTCCGAGTTGATTCAAGGCTCTGGATATCAGCCTTGTGTTTCGTAGCAATATCAATCCAATTTTGTGTTTCATTTTTCATTATTTAGGACGGGGGGGGAGGGAGGGTATAACTGAAGACGACCCCAGTCTAGTACAATTGGGCAGCCATCACAAATATACTCGAGCATCATTGCGTCATGTTTTGGGAAATTTGAATGTGACCTTGAACCTAATCCGTTCTTACCTTGGCCCATTGAGGGGGTACTCTGGCCTCGTTGATGCAGCTGAACACCTCCTCTAGGTCACTAGACATCACCACCAGACCCTGGATGCCCTTTTGCAGGTCCACGAGGGAACTCTTGATCTGCTTCAGCAGAGAGTTGTATCGCTGGATCTACATGTGACAACAGAACAATCCCAATTTCACGAGAAGATCGAAGTTCCCAGTAATTGTTACCCAGCCGCCTTAGCAGCTGGGTTCAGAAAAAGATACAGAATTTGCTTTCTGAGCTCCCGGAACTCGATAGTAAAAGGCGATCAAGTTACACGTTAGGAGTACAGATAACACGACGATGGAACTCAATTAATCTAATTCAAAGTGATGACATTGGGCAAATACTTGAATACGTTATTCTCTCGAGTCTTCAAACAATATAATATTTTTCTAATTTGACTTAATCGACGTTGGCATTTTCCTTTTATAGTTATTATCATTTATTTCGACGTCTTTATTTAGACCAAAAGTTCTCGAAATGCATAATTTAATCTTGCTCGGTGTAGTTACGCTATCTAAAGACACGCAAAAAGCCGAATCAGTTTAGATTATTGCAAGAGATGCAAGCGTGAAAGACCAAAATTGTAACCAGCGATTCAATCATTGAGAAGAGACCATTTTATCACCGAAAAATGGCAATATGGGAAAATAATATAAAAAAGATCTGTCCTTATTTAGACAGGTTGCATTTTGCGAAATAATAATTTTTTTAAGGACCTCTTGGAGAAGGACGACATTAACTGGACTGAGATCGTCTTTCAAGATCTTCGCAGTTCCGTCGTAGTCCAGTGGATCTGGCACTTTAGACAGCACATCTCCAGCTAACTGGAGCACCTTGTCCTCAACCGTCTGGCCTCCGGCGCCAGCTGAAACCTGGGGTTGCAGTGACAACAGGGTCTCGAGAAGGGTTCGGGTCTCTGTGATCTGGGAGGCGATGTCGGCGTTCGGATGTTGCCCGAATGCCTCGGGATGGTCCATGGTCGGCAGCCGATTGATCTCCTCGGCATACCAATTTTTAGTTCCGTCTCGAGGGATGATGTAAGTGGGAAGCGACGAAAGCCTAACAAAATTTTATGCTTGAAAATTGGGAAAAAAGGTACCTATAAAGCATAATTTTCGCCATTCTAAGATCCCTAATGTCTTACAAGTCCAAAATTGCAGACTGCTTCTTAATGCGTGTAATGAATTGCATCGACTAAGTTAAACATTCGCCCACCTCAAGAGACAAATAATTCTCTCCCCTCTCGATTTAATTTGGATTAAATTTGTTTAGTGATGTGGGTTTAGTACTCAATTCTGATTGGCCGAATATTCCAAATTAGACTCAAGTAACTGCATAAAACCCCCCTTATGGAGGATGAGGGTGGGGGTGTCAGACTCACTTGAAGAATGGGACTTCTATTGCGTCTGGAGTGAAGTAGTCGTTGATGTAGGTGGTCAGCAGTCTCCTGTCCCAGTCATCAGTCACGTGACCACCGTAGTTCACTCCTGCAATAAGGTACTTCAGAGTGTCCCAGGGGGTGTCGTCCTTGTACTCGTCCAAGTAGATGCACAACAAGTTCTCAGACACCTAAAATTGCGCAGAAGGTATTAATATACATCTTTGTTAAGGAAAAAAAATGTGCCCAGAAATTTGTGGCTCAACTATTTTCTGAGGCACAAATGTCTCTGCACCCTTTTTTGTAATTAAACTTACATGTAAAATTTGATGTAAAATTTCGTACAATGTTGGAATTGAAATAATACTCGTACTATTACACTACGCTCGCTACAGCTTGCTTGCGTAAATATAACTTAAAACCAATTCATTGAATGATGATTACCCTTGCGATAGCAAGGGTATTGCAACCGGGTACTAGACTTTCCCCCCCGTAATTAACTTTGTCCACAGGACTCATTGGACTCCTGGCTCCTGGTGGTACCTTGGTTCATAACGAATTCAAACTCTGTATTGTCTATCGCACATTTAGACTGATGGTAACGAATTAGCCTGGGACGACGAAGGACCTGGGTTCAAACTTAACCAGGACCAGTTTTTTTCAACCGGTAAATGTTCCGGTTCAAAAAAAATTTCGACCTATTATGTGTCTGCATCTGGTTTGTCGGCTTAGTTGCCCCATTTAAGAATTGTTTATTTTAGCTGTAACCTATTTTCACTGCGGTTGTTTTTAGCATTTCAAAAATCCGGCCAAATTTTCTTTTCATTTTGGTTGTAGTTTTACCAGCTCAATTTGTTTAAAAAATTTTTTGTCTTTTTTAACAGCTTAAAAAATTTCGGCTCAATTATTATCGACTTGGTGGGCTTTTATTGCGTCGTCACGTTCAAAAAAGTTTTTGTGCACGTTTATGTGCTCTGAGGGGAAAAGGACGTAACATTTTGAATATACATGAAGGGTTTCTGCTCAGGTTTTTCAACTTTGTTACCGTTTGGTAATAATAAAATCAAATCCAATCAACCATTCGGCGCATCTGGCGTAGAGGTATTGTCTTTCCGCTTATTTTTGTTCGCTTAGTTCCGCAGAAACGACTTTTTTGACAACTTGGTTTCTGTATAGCTTTCATAACCTTCTTTGTAGAGTCTAGTGGTGCAGGCAACTTTGTTCCGGTTATTTCAGGCTTTTGTTGCAAATTTCATTGACAAAAACGAATTTTCGAATTTTTTTTTCGTTTAATTTTCATATTCATTCATATTTGTATCGCAAATGGTGCGAAGCGATACAACATTTAACACGGAGTTTCAACTCCGTGTTAGAACTTACAGATTTGTTTTATGCTTGATATAACTTTCTATTTATTTCAAAAACCATTTGTCTATTTTTTGATAGTAGTATTTTTTTTCTAAATTGAAGGCCTTCAAAGATAATCAGAGGGTAAGAATTTTCATATACAATAATGCTACATAACCTTTTCGTGATAAAAATTGAGATCATGGCTAAATTCAAATTAATAACTCCAGGCCTGAGATTTTAAATGGACGCTAAGCATTACACACTATGACAATGATGGCACAAAATCACTTGCCTCAAAGTCTGAGTCGTTGAATCCGTAGAACACATTCCATCCCAGCTGTCTGAACTTCCTCCTCTCAATCAGGACAGAGTGGAAGAAGCAGAGACTGAAGAGGAGCTTCTTATACTTGCTCTGCATCTGACACTTGTGGAACTGGTCGTCTGTGATGAGTCCGTAGAGACGCTTCAGATTCGCCTTCAGACCCTGCAAATCAACGGAGTTCTAACTATGCCAAACTCGTTTCATAGCACACTTCTTCATGCTTTTTTTAAAATTAGATACAATCAAAGTACCAGCTTCTTATAACTGTTGTTATTTTATATCAAAATAACTGTTGTTATTTTACAATCAAAATCCCTGCTTTTTATAACTGTTGTTTTTTACATCAAAAATAACAGCTATCAATTAGTTAAAAACTTGCTAACTTTTAAATCTAAACCATGATCCGTGCTTGTTGCCTGCAAGTGTGACAATAGTTCTCAGCCCGGAAAAATAATTCAAAAATAACAGGTAGTTCCTAAGCTGGGGAACAACAGCTGTTCTCCGCAAAGAGCTGATGTTCATATCTTTTGATGTTCATTTCATGCTTGAAAAATAAATATATGATCCAAGATGAATAGATCGATAGCAGTACCTTAGGAGGCTCTGTGGTCATTTTGAGACCCGACTGCAGAATCGCAATAGGGAAGTCCGGATTAGGACTAGAGCTGAGCCACAGTCTGAAATCTTTGTGAGTCTCTTCAATTTGCAGTTGCTCTACCAATTTGTCCAGCTGTGGCATCCAGCTCAGAGACAAGTGGCAATTAGCCAGGAAGACCCAGTTGCCTTCTTTGACCCCCTCTTTGATCATTCGGGTCGCAATGGGTGCTTGACCTTGACCCAGAGACAGGGCGTGGAATCGGGCGTCCATGTTCTTCTGACTGGCCAGAGCCAACAGGTTCCCAGTGGGGTCCACTCCTGGCGATAGGACAAAAATTAGGGGTGTTTTTGTACTGGAGTCATCCCACACTTGAGCCATGTCCAGCACTGGAGGTTCCACAAATCTTGAACAATATTTAAAAAAATGAAATCCGATCAAAACACCCATATAAGAGATATCTTGCTAATACAAATCTATTTCTTCATTATATCAGCAGAGATAATATATATTTTGACATTTAATTATACCCAGACTTAAAACTATCAATGGCGACACAAAAACTGACATAAAGTAACTATAATGACAAATTTTGATGGAAAAATTCAATAAAAACTAAACAAAATTACCGTGATCCCAAATTGTTCTGAATGAATGTTGTGGCACAGAATGACACTCTGTCTTGTCTCAGAGATCTCACGATGATCATTCTCTGCAGTTCATTGCATGAGTCCTCCCACTCACCAGGTAGAACAGCCTGCAAAAAAAAACCAAATAAATTTTCGAAGACCATCTTTTCAGAATTTTTTCAAAGAAACTTTTCAGCGTTTTTTTTTCAAAGTGAGACGATACATCCACAGATTAAAGTATAGATTTGAGACGAAATATTCAATCCCTCAAATGTTTAGGAAAAAGTAATTGAAATAATTCGTTCCAGAAAAAAATTATTCAATGGTTCATGATTTTAAGTGAAAACTTGTTCATTTTCACCAAAATTAAGTCCGAAAAGCGAAAACTTACATTTTTTCAACATGGAGCGAACTTTTTTTTAAAAAAGAATATGTTTGAAATCCAAATCACGATTGGAAGGGCTTTAATATAAACCGTTATCGACTAGACGACCAACTTAATAATTTTCGACAGAGCAAAAGTATGTTAAAGCAACAAAAATGCTTTCAAAACAAGAAGCAAAAACTTATTTCACTGCTTTGAGTACTAAAGCTGAATGACCTTTTCTGGTTCGGCGCTGGTGTACCAGATGGACCAGTCTCTGGGGTACTGTTCGAAGGAGGTGATGACCCCGTGGAAGTTGGCCAGTTTGTCCAACTCTGTGATGTTGTCCCAGTTGGAGTCTGTGAGCCACTGGCTACATGGGTTGTCCATTTGCTCCTCACGGTCAAGCACCTGCAGAACAAAAACAGAATAAAAAATAGATTTTTTATTTTCTTCAAATTAGTGTTGTTTTTAGTGGGAGCTGTGATTCGAGAACTATGCGATCGCGTAGAGAATCAGTGAATTAGGCATGACCAACAAAATTTGTTATCAAAAAATGAATAATAAAAAAAGCGAAAGAAGAGATAAAATTTTCTTTTGAAAATCTCTATTGACAAATAAGCGCTGAAAGAAACATCCAAAACTAGTTTTCTTGATATTAAAATTAGGTTTTGTGCGCCGAAAATTATAAAAATAAATAGTTAACTTCCATATAACGAACGTTACTCGATCGCGGTTTTTGCTCGGAATTGAGCTAAAAATAAAAAATGTCAGCCAGTTTTTCTCGACACTGGGAGAATTTTTTGATATGATATATCACTAGACCCAATGCATTTATTTTGAGTGGAAAAAAAAAGAAAAAAACTAAAACACATCCGAATACACAGTTCCTCCCATTTTCAATGGTCGGAACAATAAATTGTTTCCATGACATTCTACCCTATTCCAATCTACCCTATGCTAATCTACCCTATACTATTCTATCCTACATACCAACCTACCCTATACCAATCTACCCTATACCATTCTACCCTATAATTAAAGCAATTGAAACTTACCCCATCCTCTTGAAGAATCCGAAACAGTATATTTCCGAACAAATCAAAGAACCATTAATTATGATCAAAGAATAATTGACGCACGTGAATAAAATATCAAAGCAACGTAAAACTTGCGCGTTCAAAATGGAAATGAGTTCAAAGCATGAACGAACAGAAATTTTAATCCAATGTTGCTATAGAAATGCGTTGCGGCTATTTCTTAAACAAACAAAAGTCATATCACATCAAGTCGACATAGCGTAGCGGATAATGCCTGTGTTTGAAAATCAAAAGCTCGAAAGATCAAATCACCAAGAAGTCAAATTTTGAATGAAATTCGAAAATTACTGAGGGTTTGACTAGTTGATCACAAAAGGAGGGGTAGACCCCCCAGTACCAGGCCAAGGCGGTTGAAGTTTTTGAGTGATATTGTCGTCAAGATCAAATTTGTCCGACACGTTTTCGATTTCCTCAATGACCAAGTCAAAAGCAGCATTGACCATTTCAACTGGTACGAAACTTAGAGCTGGAATTAAGCGCAATGACAAATTGAGATCATAATTAGTTTCGTACAGTTGCTTCAGGCCCACTTCGTTTATTTTCCGGTTGAACGCTTGACATAAATGAAAATAGCAGCCTTTCAGCAACGCTCCGGTATGGTGACTAGCGAAAGCGTTCAGTGCTGCACGTTCAAAATCGAGGAGAATGCGGTGAGGCTCGGTGTTTTCGTGGAGTCTGTGAAATGGCTGTTTCATTTTCTGCACTCATTATGGTATATAGGGCAGATTAGTATAGGGTAGATTAGTATAGGGTAGATTGGTATAGGGTAGATTGGTATGTAGGGTATAATGGCATAGGGTAGAATGGTATAGGGTAGTTTGGAATAGGGTAGATTGTCCTGCCACCAATAAATTGTGCTGATAAATTGTCCTCTAGGCATTCTCAGCCGTCAATTTAGTTTTTGTTACCCTTGAGATTAGTAAAAAGCAAACTGCAAAAAATATCTCAAATGTAAAAGGTAAAAAACTAGCAGAACCTTACTACAAAATTATTTTAGAAAAAATGTGGTTTCTTTTTGAAAAAAAACTTGAAGAGAAACAGACTTAGCTTCTTATCAGTATACTAAACTTTCAACTACACTATTTTGAGAAAATTTTCTTGAATATTTTTTAGTATTTTATTTAACTGGTATTTTTTGTCAATTTTATTGTTCCGACTTTCGAAGAAAACGAAATATTTAGTGGTTTTTTTATTCAGTCAATTTTCGGCGATCGAAATAACAGTTGTTAACAAAGATATTTTAAATCCCATTGAAGATATCAGTTCCCTGAAATCAAATGTAAAAAGATATTTTACCTCCGATCATTTTTTTTGCCAAATTCTGGGAGTTTGAAAATTGCCAACTTGGCCATGCTCTGGACTAATTTATGTGCGATTCGAAAACTTTATTCATAATGTTGAAAGCGTAGCGCGCATTATTTATGCGTGGCAAACTATCCCGCACAACAAAATCGTTCCAAATTGAACTGAGGCTATAGCTAATCAATCGTATTAATTTCGTACGACTCAAATTTTTACACTTCATCTTTGATATTGTCCAAATATTATAGGTTTTTAGTATTTTCTTTTCCCAAAAACTATTCAATAGAGATTAAGGGGCATAGTCGGAACATTCAGGGCTTTGCCCTGATATACGAGCAGTCTTGTTAAACTTATAATCTACTTCCTGTTAAAAGCATAGAAAATTGGACAATAGCGTGGTTTCCGTATAGATCACTCATTGTTTTTCGTTTCCAAGTTTCCTTTTAAAAAATCGAAAATAACAAATTTGCTTATCAAGCGGCTCGGCTCTATTTTGAGAAAAAACGCGAATAAGGATACTTACAATTCCGCCCTTGAGGAAGAACTGGTACTCGTCAAGATTCAGTTTCTGGGCAGCTTCCAGGATCTTGGCACACATTTGGAACGAGAACAACAGCTTGTGTCTCTCGAAGAGACCTCGACAAGTGTATCTAAACAGAAAAGATTTGGATGTACATTTAAGATAAACTTTCAAATTTTTCAGGTGATCTATTGGTCTTCAAGTATTACCGAATGAAAGAATTATATTAGTTGTACAAAAAGTCGAAGTTCCAGAGAAGAAGAGGCGTAAGCTGTCATAAGCTGATTCCCGAGGTTAAATTCAAATTTGTGAACATTGTTTCAGGTCAGTCATATATTTCCATTTTTCAAACGCTGCAGAAACCCAAGAATGATCATATTTGATTTCAAAAAAAATCTGCAACCGACGCTTTCTTTTTGGCTGAAAATAATGAGATGACCTTTTTGGAAGACTTTCAAAATAGAGCTAAGCTGTTTCTTAAAAAAAACCAATTGGACACTCTGGGTTCTATTAAATAATTCACGTGGATAGAAGCCAATATTGCCCGCTTAATTAATTACCTATACACTGCATATGTGTGGAAGTCGTTCAGTTTGGTGATCCTCTCTTCTAGTCTGGGACTCTTTGTACACCTGTCTATGGAGAGATTGAACAGATCTATGTATGCATCTAGAGAGAACTGGTACATGGGGTCTATCCTTCCCATGTCATTCAACACGAAAAACAGAATGGAAGCACGCTGCGCACACGGTTTGTAGCCCTACCGGAAAACAGAAAAATAGAACAACTCAACATCAGAAAATTATGTGTTGAAATAAGCAGCCTACAAAGAGATACTCCCACATGGTATCTGAATTCCAGTAACAATCTAGGGCCAAAAAAGTTTGAGTGCATAAAAATGATGACGACGATCATTATGCAAAAGAAACTGACGTCTCGGGCGGCGTCGATTTTCTTCTCAGTCTCCTCTGATATCACCAGGGACTCAGTGACCTCCTGTGATGTAATCTTACTTTGCTGCAGAGTGTTCACCAGCTGTTCATCGTCTAACAGAGATCCCTGTGCCTCGTTCAGGAGTCTGAAAAAAACTCTTGGGTCATGTTTAGAGAATCCATAAACTATTCATTAATTAAAACTGCGCTTGTCTGAAAAACAATTTCAACTCTTCAAAGAAAAGGATATAAAAAATATCAGCTTCAATAACTGGATATTTGATGCGAGAACCAATTGTATTATCTATGGACCCGGCAGATAGTATAATAGGTTCATTGGAAGAGGATGATCAGGAGCGATGATATTCTACAGAGATGTCATAAGCTCACCGTAGGATCTCGTTCTCCAGCTCCACCAACTTATTCTTGCCGCCTGCGATGTTCAACACGAGGGTGTCCTTCTGCTCCTCCAGCTCTGGCCTCTCTTTCCGCACCACGATACCTGAAGATTGAAGTGAACTCTTTTGTATGTGTGCGTGTTCCATCAAAAAAACTTCATCACTTGTACAACCTATGTACTAAGCTATTTGATACGAACTTTTAACTCGCAGGAGCATCAATTTTACTAGGTAAGAACTATAGGTTGATGTGCATGCCAGCCGAACTATAAACAGGCTACCATATAATCCGGCCAAAAACAAAGGGCAGTTGAGCAATACTGTAGTTATGTTAACAACTATGTTAACAATTACAGTTGAGAAAATCATGCAAATGTCAAGCAATGCGCAACTTTTGGCTGGTTTATGTACCCTACCCATTCTCTGTTTGTTAAAACTTTCGCTGGTTTAGTCAAATTCAAAAAACATATCTGGTGAAAAAATTGCTCTTGTTTCTACAAGAAAATGATTAGGAAAGCATTCACCGCGGACGCAGAATGTCAACTATTGAGTTAAGCATAAGGGTGCTCTCCCTGAAATTAATTAAATCATAGCGAATTCGACTTGAGTTTCACAAATAACGTGCTATAGCAGACCTGAAGATAGTTTTGAATCTTACAGGTAAAGCTTCTAGAAAGAATGAAAGGTTGCGTTACCCAACAGCTGTGCTTCTAAGCCCTGTTCCTTCACGGCGAAGTTCACTATGGCCGCTTTGGTCGATATCTCTGGACTGTAGTGAGGGTTGGCCAGTTTAGTAGTCATGTAGAAACGGAAGTCCTGATGGTAATCCAGTTCTTTGTCTCCCAGTTTGATCATCAGTCGACCACCTTAAATTTTGAACTAAATTTGAACCACAATTTAGAAAAACCAAAACCTAGAAGATTTATTGGCCAATATTGTGATATGGGAATGTTCATTCAACTGTTTTACGCTTGAGAAGATGATGATTGTGATATATTGTCCCTTCGGATGGCTGTGGACAGCTATATCGTCGTTTAATGATAATGTTGTAAGCTGTTCGAATATTAATTAGCGCTACTGGCTATCGATTGTTATTGATTGTTTCCATAATTTATATGTCTCGAGCGGTTAAGACTTATCTTGCTTTTAAGGACGCAGGATTCGGTTCTTAACTTCTGGAATATCGCTAGTCGATCGGCGCAAGTTAGAGCATGATTCTAATATTTTATTCTCTTCAAGTCTACCCAATTGATTAGTAGCTCTGTCTAAATCTCCTCTGGTTGGTATTAATTACCATCAATATTTACATAGTTAAATAAATATAAATGTATGAACTTCATTTCATTAAAAAGGTTAATTATGTTATCTATTATAGCATAAGAATGCATGACGTCATGTAGTGATGTCACACTACCTCACAAGAAGAAATCTTCCCGGGTGGTTTTGAGTTTTTGACTGTTTACAGTTAAAATAATTCAGTTTAAAACTTATAATCAAATTGACAAAATATATACTGCTACAAGGAAATTGTTTATTATGTATCACGTTATAACGAGCTTTAATTAAGCACTCATTTAAAAGCACACATTATCACTTCGATTTAAATAATTTGAAATAAAAGTGAGTTGAGTTTAAATGGGAAATATTTAAAAGGGGAAAGAAAGCCACATTGAGTCGGGTTATGGGAGTTAAATGATAGATGAATGAATCAAGTGTATGATAGCAAAATAGGTTCAGTTGTCAACTATAACTAAGTTTGCGGTGCAAGTACTGTAGTGTCGTGTAGCAGACGATTGTTGTTCGTCGCTTCGTTGTTTTTATCTTCTTTCTTTGTTGGTTGCTAGTCATTTCTTTTGTTCCATTGGTGCCCGAATTGGTTGTTGCTTTTTCAAATGAGGTGACTTCATTCTTTTCATGGCCTCTTCAATTGCGAATAGATTTCCAACAATTTCACAGTTATCTGTTTTGTCGAATTATTCACTTTTTTGTTGAAGTTTGCAACTAGGAAAGCAATTTGTACTCTGGTGTACGTGCGTAAAAGTTGAACTTGGTTTTTCAGATTGTGTTCTCAGGAGTCATCGTTTCTTCTTCCATTAGGCGTGTTGTGCCTTAGTTGGCCTTACTCCCTGAATGAAGGCGATAAGCTTCCTTGATTGTTGTCAGATTTCCACTATTTCGACGAAGGTTTTGCATTTTGTCGCAATCAACGTCTTTTTGTGCTGAATCTGGCTTTTGTGGTCTGTCGTCGTGTTTTCTACAGACGTTGTAAATCACTCGTATAGGCGATTCAGGCATTTTGCTGGTTCGCCTGAGCAAAATTTGGCATCAGTTAGAATTAAAATTGATGAATTTCAGTTTTTCATCAAATTTGTTGATATTTATGATGTTCTAATTAGCTTTTAAAGTTCGCGTGTTGTTTTTCAGCAATGCTTGTAAACTTTCGAGGTTGTCCTAACAATTCCGTTGGATCTTTGCTGGCACATTTGAGTGTTTTCTTTCCGCATTTCTGCAAAGATATCCCTCGAAAGTTATTTTTCTTGTTTTTCCTATACTAATACATGGGAATGTTGAGAATTGATGTATGTCATCAAATTTTGGTCTGGTAGTGGAACAACTTCGTGCCTGTTCGTCATTGGTGATTTGAAGATTAATGAGCCCAAAATTTTTGAATTTCCTTCGACTCGTTGATGGGGGACGAAAAACTTTTTTATTCGTAATGCTTAAACATGGGCGGTGAGGGTGATTTTTCGTATCTCGAGATGTACACATTTCCTCCTCCGCCGAGCTTCTGGAGCCTCCTTATTGGTGGTCTTGGGATCATTGGTAGTGAAATTTTCAAAATCCATTCAGAAGTTTGATGGGGGACGTGAGAATTTTTGATTCCCCATCTTAATACATGGCCGGAGAGGGTGATTTTTGAGATCTCGGCTTTTAAACAATTCCTCCTCCGCCGGGCTTCAGGATCCTCCTCATTGGTGCTAGAGAGCTCACTGGTGTCAAAATTTTTGAGATTCGATCACTGAGTTGTCGGGGTGCTCGAAACTTTTTTATTCGTGATCTTAATACATGGGAGGTTGAGGTGTTTTTTGATATCTCGAGTTCTATACATTTCCTCCTGCGCTGCGCTTCTGCAGGCTCCTCATTGGTGCTACAGAGCTCACTGGTGTCAAAATTTTCGAGATCCGATCATTGAGTTGTCGGGGTGCTCGAAACTTTTTTATTCGTGATCTTAATACATGGGAGGTTGAGGTGTTTTTTGATATCTCGAGTTCTATACATTTCCTCCTGCGCTGCGCTTCTGCAGGCTCCTCATTGGTGCTACAGAGCTCACTGGTGTCAAAATTTTCGAGATCCGATCACTGAGTTGTCGGGGTGCTCGAAACTTTTTTATTCGTGATCTTAATACATGGGAGGTTGAGGTGTTTTTTGATATCTCGAGTTCTATACATTTCCTCCTGCGCTGCGCTTCTGCAGCGTCATTTGGGGTCATATGATGATGATTGAGGGGGTCGATATTGTTGTCAGACGTATATGAAGACTTTGATGTCTGTTTTTCGGAAGATTTCGAAGATTATGTTAAAAACCGTATTTTCTCGTAGTTTATCAAGTCCACATCCTATCTTGGGAAGAGCGATTTGTTTGATTCCTTGTTCGATTAGCTGTTTCTTCATGCAGTTGAGGCTTCTTGACAAATCGTAGTATGTTGGCTTGTCAAAAAATTGTGGTTTAGTGACTAAATTAAAAATTGATTTGTTTTCCCAAGGCAAAGAAACTGAAACTGATGATCCAACTATCGGTGTTTCAATGCTTTTTAGGGTTGGTTTGATGCATGGGTAGGCACTGCTGATCTGCTGTGCTACTCCTTTTGCCATTTGAAAGTCACTTGAGACGCAGTGAGCTATAGAGCCAGGGAATTGTAAAACATCCCCTGATCCCACAAAGATATTTGGTTCATATATTGCATTTACCGAATCTTTGCTGCTGCTGGGCCCATCTTTTCGTTTAGTCATTTGTTTCGCTCGCTTCACGCTGTCCTTAATAATGTTCCTTTTCGCCTCTCGTGGAGGAAAGTCTTCATTCGCCTCCTCCGCTTTCTTTCGTATATTTGCTTTATTGTCCTTCTGCGTTGATCGTGGAATGAATGTAACTGGGGCCACTTCGTGTCCGTCAACGGTTCGGAGTCCATACTTTCGCGGTTGTTTTGGGCGGCTGGGTATTGGATGGTATCTCACATCGTTGCTGAAGCGCGTTTGGCAAAATATTTTGTCTCGCGCTTCGACTGCTGCTTTGCGCTTCGTTCGCGATGTTTCTTGGGCCATGTTTTGTCCATCGTTTTCGAGATTAACTGTAGTAGGCATTGTAACCGCTGTCTCGTTCATTCGTTCGTCGTTATTTAGTTCATCGTTGTATTCAAACTCAGGTGGAGCTAAGGGTTCTGGATCTGGGTCCGGTGGAAGTGCTGGTAGCGGCGGTGCTGCTATTGGTAGCGGTACCAGAGGCAATGGTGCAACTATTGGTGCTGCTGCGGGAATTGGGACTGCTGCAGGAGCGATTGGGGCTGCTGCGGGTCCTCCAAGAGGTACTGACAGTCGGATTCGAGCAGGTGCATCGGGAAGGTTGCTTCGTCCACCGGTTGCGGGTTGGATGTCGTCTAAGAGTTTGGGCAAAGAATCGTCGAAGAGTCCTGGTTCACTTCGGTATTTACCAAGTGAGGGATCCGTTTCAAATTTGCTTGGATCAATAGTCTCGAGATCTTCTGGTTGATGCTGTGGAATAACAGGTCTGAGACGAATCCGGTGTACGCATTGTGTGAAATTAGTTCCCATTTTACGAATGATGTAGTTTGAATTTGTCAATACTTTTTCAACTCTGTACAATGGTATCCAGACTTGCATTGATTTGCTCCCAAAATCTGATTGTGTTGTCAACAGAGGATTTAATAATAAACAAAATGAATGCTGTTTCAGTGGCTGGGCAAGTGCTTTTTGATCGTAATATCCTCGGTATTTATGGTAAGCTGAAATTAAGTTCTTTTTCGTTTCTTTGAACTTTTCTAACATCGCATCTTGCATTGCCGTGACAAAATCAGATTCAGCTGTTACTGTTTCAATTGCTTTCGTTGAGAAGCGGAGATCAAGTGGTTTTGTCGGTTCTCTTCCATGGAAAATTGAGCTTGGGCAGCATCCAATTGATGAAGAGTATGAAGTATTGTGGATAAATGTTGCCAATGGGACATATTTGTGCCAGTCCGACCATTGTTCATTAGTGTTCAGCTTTAGGATTCGTTTAAGTGGTCCATGAGATCGTTCGACAAGACCGATAGTCTGCGGGTGTTTTAGTGTGGCATGGTTAAGTTGAATTTCGAGCAATGTCGTCAATTCGTGCATCAGTTCTGAAGTAAATGTCTTTCCAAGATCAGCTAGAATCTTCTTCGGGATATAACTATGAACAAAGAACATCTTTGTAAGTTCTCTTGCAACAGTATCAGCGCTAGCATTCGTCAATGGTGCTGCAAACAAGTATTTCGAGAATACATCGATTCCAGTGAGAACAAACTTGTAGACTGGTGACTTCATTGGTCCAACTATATCAATTTGCATCATATCGCCTGGGAAACATTGCAATGATGAAATTGGTTGTAATGGTGGAATCTGGTGCTTTGCCGTTGCTTGTTTGAGTTGCAGACACGTCAGGCAATTTTTAATCGTATTTTTCAGAAATTCAGTGAAGCCGGGAAGGTAAAATCGTTTTCTAAACTCTTCTGATGTCCTTGTCATTCCAAGATGTCCGCCAGTTGGCGAGTTGTGGAGTCGATACACAACTTCTTTCCAACGATGTTTAGGTAGGCAGTATTGTTTATACTTCA